ACTACGCTGTAAATAAAATATGGGATTGGACATTCTTCCATTTGTTTTGATTTTCTGTTTATATTGCGTTGTTATTTCGTCACCAGCATGGGAACCCAAGTTATTTTTTGAATTTAAATTAATTTGTTGTGCTTATTTTGCGCCTATTTTAATTTATCAAGGGATTCAGCACATCTGCATGAAAATATCTTTCCAACAGTATTCATAGATTTCTCTGCGATGCACTCGAGCTGAGAAAAAAGATTTAAGAAACATGCTTCTTGCTTGCCTATTAATACAGTAGATAGATTATAATAAACGACAATGAAAGTGGAATAAGGAATACGATTTGAGTGACACCTAGCGGTGATTTGGTGAACTGTTGTGAACCTGGATGCTAGCTAGCGACTTACAGTATAGTGGTTGAGCAAACTATTTTCATTGACTTTATATCTCTACACTCTACACTCTTATATCTCTGTGTAGAGATATAAAGTCAATGCTATTATCAGTGAACTGATCATTTATTCGAACGAGTTCGCTAACCAGCATGAACAGACTGGGGGTTTATGGGGGGGGGGGGGTTTATAGGGTAAAATGGGGTTTCCCATTTTTTACCCAAAATACAAAAGATTTTGCATTTTTTCTTAACCATTTTGTGGTGAACTATATTTTTCGTCATATTGCATCATTAATTAATTAACAAATAAAGCTAGAAAACAAAATGTTTGATTGACTTAGCTTGTTTTCAATTCTGCTAATACAAATATGCAGCTGTTTAGTAAGTGATTCAATCATTTCGATTACAGTACTGTATTACGATTGTGTTACAGTACCTACATTATACCATCGATATGTTGAGCCATCGACAACAATATGCTAAAACCTTACCTAATAAATCAATCGATCCGATTGCCATAATCGAAATTTACAACAGCTGATTTTTACTCCCTAGAGACTAATAATGAAAAAATGCTACTTTAGAGCCTCAACGCATGCATTTATAACGGCTGTTTTTGCTGCAGTATGGCGAAAATAAATCTTGAGCGAATCGAAAAATTAACCATATGTCTTTTCTGTTCCCTATTTGAATTTTGAAGTTACTCAAAAATAAAATTAATTAATGATTTTTGCGCACAATATTTAGAGGAATTAAAACTGTTGTTTTATGGTGAGAATTGATGTGATTCTTAAATTTTAGTCAATCAGTTAATTAATTACGGTCAATCAGTCCCAGACCAGTATTTACTGTACCACTGACAACTCAGCCAATCGATCGACACCCGTTGCAAGAGCGAGATCGAACCTCTAATCATGAAGATCATGAGGTGGTACGGTCATCATGTATCAGTGGTAAGTTCATACCGTACTGATTGACAAACTACTAGTGGAGTTTTGGGGTAGTCGTGTTTTAGAGATTCGAATATTACTGCGAGTGCCTAGCGAAAACAATGGTATCTTTACAATCTTTCGTGGTTCCAAACCATATAAGTTTGGGTTATTTTTAATTTAGAGTGTATTTTTTACCATACAGTTAACTTATGGTTCGTTAAAGTTCATAATATTTAAATAATAAATAAATATATTAATTAACGCCAATATTCGCAAGATTTTTGCCTCCGACGGCACCTAGCGGCGATTGCGGGAACTATTAGCTCTTCCTGCACTTTGCAGTATCGTCTTGCAACTAACTTTACCGACTTTACCTCCAAACTAACTGGTGGGATATTAGGATGGACGTTTGGAAAAGCGATACCGGTAAGCTAGTTATGATTTCTGGTGTGTTACTTGATCTGGTTATTCTGGTTGACATTTATTTAACTAGAAGTGCGTTTTCTGCGCGTAACGGGATGAGTGAACCCAGAATAGGTGAAGCCCCCTTACCGCAAGCAACAATGGGTGGGTTGAAACCATAGTAAAAAAGAATTAAATATAGACAGTCAGCCGTGCTGCGGTTACCATGGTTGCCATAGGTGCGTTAGCTACATGGCACTCCCAGCTGTGTGCGCCAGAACCTATAGTATATGCAGCATGCAGCACAGCTGACGGTCTATATTTAGTAATTTTTATCTATGGTTTAAACTCACCAAACAAAAATGCAATCATAGTAACAATTTTTTTTACCAGTATTGTTGTGTAAAATCATTTGAAGAAGTTTCATATGATTTTACATAAAATGAAGTTTCTGTTTCATTTTATGTAAAAACATAAAATGAAACTTCCTGCTAAGGCTGAGTGACCACCAAAATAATAACTCTTTAATATTTAATATAAGGAACAAAAAGAGGGGAGAGAAAATGACTTTTTTACCCAAAGAAATGTAATGTATAGGGTCATCTAACTTTTGACAGGCTACCATTTTAGATACCGTAGAGATGAGATAGCCAATTATAGTTTTCACCATTCTTTACATTTTTGTAAACACTTCAAAATGAGGTGTCACTTGAAGGGGGTTTACATTAAAAAATGTTGAGTTGCCCCCAAAATCCCTCATTTTTCCGGGACACTCAAAATTTTCAAATTCATAAAATGAAACTTCTTTTGGTAAGATTGCACAACCACACAAAGAATATATCTGTATATTTACTTAGAAAAATATTAGATGGGGGGGGTCTTTACTTTTTATTCACCCTGTACAATCAAAATCAAAGTACGGTAAGCTGTTTGATTAACTTATCAGAGAAAATTCCTATTTTCCTAGTAGCTGAAACCAGAGAACCTATCAACTTACCTGTAGAGACTACTATGGTTACGTTTTAAAAACAGCGTGTGGTATTACAGATTAAATAGGTGGTAGCATAGTATTTTTGTTAATACGACTCGTTAAATTTTCTCATGAATTTAACCACGCGGTATAGGCCTAATATAATTTAATTGGTTTTTGTTCGAGTACACACAGCAAATTAATGTTAAATCTTTTGTTATTTTATGGCCTTTGTAATTCAACTTTTAAAACTTACATACAAACCAAAGCCCGGGGGCCTATGTTGGTGTGGGGCCTGGGGCGGTCCGCTCCCCCAGTCGGTACGCCACTGGTTTAGGGGCAGTGGTAGAACATTATGGCTATGGTAGATTTGCTATACTATAGCATACGGTAAATTAAAAGAAGCAAATTTTCTTCAACCGTGTCCTCTCCCATAGCAAACGCAAAACACGAGTATAACTGCAATAAGCATTTTATACTTAAATACACCATGGGATGGGAACTCTGCTATATAATATACATATGCAAATACAATAAACAAACGGTATTTATTGCATTAAAATTAACAGTGTAAACCAGTTAAAGAAAGCTACAATGAAAGGGACCGGCAATAAGCATTTTATACTTAAATACACCATAGGATGAGAACTCTGCTATATAATATTCATATCCAAATACAATAAACAAACGGTATTTATTGCATTAAAATTAACAGTGTAAACCAGTTAAAGAAAGCTACAATGAAAGGGACTGGCAATAAGCATTTTATACTAAATACATACCATAGGATGGGAACTCTGCTATATAATATACATATGCAAATACAATAAACAAACGGTATTTATTTAATTAAAGTTAACAGTGTACTAGTTAAAGAAAGCTACAATGAAAGGGACTGACAATGAAATGTGGGCCTACAGTAAAGTGGAAAGATTAATTTTAAAATTTAGGCCTTTTAAATTTAGATTTCTAAAAGTATAATTTGACAAGGGCTCTATCTCAGGGTAGGGTGTCATGCTGGCTTGAAAGCAATGATTAAATGAATAGAATAATGCCCAAATAAAAGGTGTAACTTACAATATTCCAACAATGAAATCAAACTTTTATGTTGTCCAAAATGTCCCCTGAATTTAATAATAAGTTTACTAAAGTTTTGAAGACCAAGTTGAAATTATGTCCTCTTGAGGTGTAAATTAATTCAATTTTCTTGAAGATATTTACAGTACTAGGTAAAATCTGGGTTTTTCTTAAAAATGTAGTTAGCCTAATAGCCTCCTCATCTTTTAGAAGTCACTCTGAGAATGTTTGCAGACGTCTCTTCTATTGTTGAACACATGGTATGGTAATACTGTGCACTGAATTTAGATTCCTTAAGAACTAATTTTGAATTATATTATATGAAATGTTGATATATTGCAATTATTAACAAGTTATGTATGTAATGAATATGCAAGTTGTGGGCTTCGTTAAAAAAAGGCTATGGATATTATTCATTATTAATTACTGAACTTAAGAGTGCTACTTTAAAAATAGTAATTAAATGTTAATCCTTCACAGTACCTAAATCAATATAACCCAGTTTGTAGAAATCTACCATCATTTTATTTATTTATTCCCCACCTTCATATCCTAGGACACTAGGTTCTAGCCCAGAACTAATATACTGGTGATTTTCAAAGCCGTAAAATGTCTATAAAACGTGCCGTTGCATTTATATTTTGAAATGCATGTTTAAATTAAAAGGATCCAAGTGGGGGTTAGCCCCCCCTTGGAACCGCCACTGCACTTAGACAGAGTACATTGATTGATTGGTGATTGATGAGATTTGAACCTGGGAACTCGGGCTTCGAAGCCTCAAGCTCTTTGAGTAATGTACTATTGATGAACTATTTAAGTTCATCCATAAAAGGCAGCAATTCAAATGTACATAATTTGATACCAAACCCCATAATATCTGGGTGTAAATACACGTCAGTAAAAAAAGGTGGATCAGATATACAACACAGAAAACAGCTCTGAAATTGAATGCAGCACCTTACGTTTTACTTAAATTTTGTGGGAGATTTCAGGGACTTTACCAAGCAACTTCATGTGTTAAATGTAGCCTAAGTAAAATATGATATGGCGGCAAATCTGTTGATGTTAACATGTGTCACAGTAACATAAAATGAAAATTGTACATGTAGACTCGCTGATTCCATGTTTTTGGGGTAAATCCTGGACCCAACTGAAATATTTAAGTTGTTTCTTATATTACGATTAATATTCATACTCAATGTCCATTTCAGTAATCAGGAAAAAAGATAGTATAACTCAATGCTGATGAAGATAATTTATTTATAGTTTAGTACATTTTTATTATATTACCATATTTCATAAATTTCACCATATTGTAATTAATTTAAAACGACTGCCAATAAGAAGTTAACAAAATGTATTAAAATGAGTAACAATAATAATAAACAAACAGATAAATAAAGATACAATCAAACATGAATTGTTAACCTACATAAAAAGGCACGAAAGCACAACACAATAATTTATATAAATCTTTTAACTTTGTACATGCATTAATAAAATATTTACTAAAAAAATATATACGTGAATTACTATGCATGGTTTAGTCAAGAATCTACATAATGTCTTTCTATACATATTTCTCATCTGATTTCTCTTATCTACACAATAATGTCAAGTGATATACACCGTTTCCCCACATCGGTTAAAATTATCAGTACTATTTGAGACTGATCCTCCTATACAATATGTAAATATATACAAAACGTTTTATACAAAAATAATTGTCGTACAAAATTACAGATTACTTTACACTCTCTATAGCCCTGATTATCAATATCCATTACTCTGTAGCATCCCAGTCTACTATGTCGCTATAGCCTCCGAGTGGTTGTTTAGCATATGGTTGTTGGTCGCTGATTTGCTTCGCAGTTCAAACACTTGCTGTATAGCCTCCCGGAAACACAGGAAGTTGTAGTCAATGACACCTGTACAGAAAATAGTTTGTGTTACAAAATCCATCATATGTTTCTTAGACAGAGAACGCTCACCAGGTATAATGATTGACTATACACAGATGACTACAGTCAATGGTACAATGTACTGTGATATTGGCAGTCACCAATGTAGGCATATAGCTATAAGACATTTCAGTCCAATAGTTACTCATCACAAAAATATGGAATGTACGGGAAAGTGAATGGAACAGAACACAGTCAAGAGAAATTTTTATTTCCAAGGCTATTTAAGATTAAAGAAAGGTGCAACTGCCAGGAGTTTTCAGATAAGAAGAGGGGCTGATGAAGAAACGGGAAATAGGGAAAGAAGAACAAAGGTCATGTTGGTTTTAATATGTGGGGAGAATGCAAGAAGAGAGAACTATTGGGAAAAGGGAGTTGATAGTGATAGAGGGAAAGAGCCCGAGAGGAAGACTTAGAAGAAGTAGGATAAAAGAAGTGAAAAGGGATGTGAAGAAGAAAGTAGTGAGTTGGCAGATGGTGGATGAACATTAGGGGAATATAGAGGACTAGCCAACACCCAGACAAGGGTATGATAGATAGTGTATGTAAGGAAAAATGGCTAGACAACAATTCTTCATTAAAATAGTGAAACCAATTTTTGTTGGATAAGGAAGGTACTGTGGGGCTGAGCAAAAATACGAAATTGTAATCCTATAGGAACAAATTAGAATAGCTAGTCTTATGGCGTATAACCAAGAGGTCTATCTTCAAACTCCTTTGTAAGTTTTGTAATAATTTTAACACCCAGAAGTTTGGAGACTGCCATTAGTTTTGAGTTTACCTATACATATAAGCTTTAATGGCTTATAACCAAAATTTCTATGTTAAAATTCCTTTGTAAATTTTATAATAATTGTAATGTAACAACCAGAAGTTTGGAGGGTACCTTTAGTCGTGAGTTTACCTAAAATAATATAACTACATTTAAGCCATAAAGCTTTGAGATTTTGGTCAAAACCCACTCATGGGCAACATCATTCACTTAAACATTCCGTTTGAAAAAAAAAACACTATAAATGTATCAAAGTTTTTTAAACAATGTCCTAAAAAAATTTATTAATGGTTTCCTAGTCAAAAGGAACATTGAAAATACATTTCCAATCATAAGAATCAATTGGGACAGTACCTCATTACGATAACAAAAATTCAGATAATTGAATTTTTACTGAAGTTTGGGGAATTCTATAGAAAATAGGCCGAGCTTTAACTATCACGATCAAAGAAGAATACTGATAAAAATTAACTAACCAGACTACTAAGCGCCATTCAAAAATGGCTGATATTGTGAGAATAGCATAAAATAGAGAACCAAAAAGGGTTAAAAGGTTATCATCCTATTGACCAACCATCAACCATTGTTGAGTATAAATAACCTCGACCAATTGCTTGAGAACTTTACCAAACAACAAAGAGTCTGTTTGGGGAGCGAGCTGGTCTAGTGGTAGAGTCTAGTTGAAATCTTCCAAACTACCATGCCGATGGATTTTATCCATGTCATAATGCCGCAAACCTCTAGGACTAGCCTGAACTAATGTGTGAACAGTTCCGGGCTAGAACTAGCATCCTAGGATGTGAAGGTGAGACATAAAAAAGTGTGATTAAATGTGCTGTATGACCTAAGTTACAGTTTACCTTGTTTGTCAAAGTTGTCCTCTCTCAAGATGCACACCAATGCCAAGAAGCGATTCACCTCTCTGAGGTACAAGATTGTGCCGTTGTTCAGCTTTATCAGACTAGAACTTTGGCCGTCAAACGCTGGCGATTCTGGGTCTTCTTGGAGTCTGCAAATAATTTTTTAATTAGTTTTTGATGTAATAAACTGTGCCACTACACTAGGTTATTTTTATGCTTCACTCGCAAGCTGTGGATCAAAACAGTGGTGTAATTGTATACTTTACAGTGTAGGACCATTAACTGTGAACTTACTAACATGAAGTGTGATGTTGGACCAGAATTCTCCCCTCTCACTCACTAAACAAGTTTTTTAAGGATGCCATTCAAACAGTTGATTGGAATGCCGTAGCAAAGACAAGGGACCTTGGAGCAGTGGTATTTATACAACCACTTTCCTCACAAAAGTCTCATATATATCAGTGACACAGCTACTGATTGATATTATTATAGCCTACATCCTTTAATTCTTCAGTTTGGTTGAAACTAAAGAAGTAAGCATAACCTTTAAAATTTGCTTTCTTCTTTGCCTTAACCCTTTCGATGCTAGAGTTATTTTTTGTAATTTTCCTAAAAATGCTAGTTATTTACCTACTTATTTTGTCCGAAAAGTGCTAGGTTTGCCTCGGGGGCAAAGTCTAGAGTACGAGAAAAAAAATCGGTACGAAAAATGTTTCACCTCAAAAGTGCTAAGTAAAGATTTATCAAGCCCCGATCCTATGAGGAATCAAAAGACACCATCACTGTTTCCAAAAAACAACTGAGTCAACCGATATGCCCAATTAAACTTACCTGGTCGAAAGTCGCGCCAGCACGATATATCGTCGCTTAGCACTATTCGCATCAAACGCGAACAACAATACATCGTTCCATAGCTCTTTTTGGGAAAAAGACGCACAACAATATATTGTCGCATAGCACTGAAAGGATTTAACAAAGGTTTCAAAAAACCGAAATATTGAAAATCACAACTTAAAAAAAACTTATAACCAATTAAAATTACATAGAAATAATAAACAATTTAAAGAATTAGCCCAAATAATACTTACCCATAAATTCCAGAAACGTCAATAACAACATCAATCATATCACAACACAGTTCATAGCTTTGCATATCCACTGGGGAGGAATCAGTCGCAATATATATCTTGGAGACAACATCAAATAAGAAAGCTTTTTCAATGGCAGAATTCTAGAAAAAAATTCAGGTAAATAAGTCAAAACTATCAGCAAAATTTACATCGCAATTTAAGAGGGGGGGGAGGGAATAGAAAAAAACTAAATCCAAGAGAACAAAACTTAGTTTATCATTTGTTGGGTTTTGTGTCTTAGTCAGTAATGGAATACCAGATGACTTCCACCAAATTTAAATAATAGTTCATGCAAATGACCAAGAAGTTTACGTTAGAAATGTGTAAAATCAAACATTTTGTGCTTGAATTTTATATCTCTGGACCCCAAAACTGGGAGTTATTCTGTAGGCTACTCCCTAAAACCTCTGGCCATTTTATGGAAAAGTTAGCCCATGACAGTAGACACTCTTTGTTTATGTATTTCAGTTGAATATAAACACAGGGTGAGATTGTGATTAAACTGCAGCTGGATGATGCATGTAGCTTTGTTACTGACTAAGACCAGCCGCTTCTTTATAAACACAACAATAAATTTGGTTGTTATAAGCACAACAACAAAAAATAGCTAGGTCCAGTTCAGTACCATTTAAAAGCTAAACAGCTACGTTTTGGTATTAGTTCAATTTAATGTAAAGAACTTCATTTTCTTTATTCACCTTAAGGGATGTCCGAAAAAGAATGCCAAGATTTTGAACTGTGGTTGCTTGGGGACTGAGATAACTAAAACGATTTAAACGTCAAAAATTGGAGTTGAAATGGGTTTAGTTTTCCGTGTAGCAAGGGGGGAAACGTTAACCTTGGCGAGCACTAAACAGATGTGCGGTGGCAGGCAGCTGATGTGACTGACACGCCTGACGCCAGTACTTCGACGTTAACAGACAGAAAGCACAGTGTGATCTATGGTCCGCAGGGTGTAAATCAATTGTTTAATTAAAGGAAGTTTGAATTTAACCGATGATAAAGCAATTTGTCGCTGGTATCACTTTCATAACAGGGAGTGTTTTGAAAGGACATTCACCTGGCCGGCCAAAAACAAGTGATTTCAAAGTTGAAGAAATCTGACAATCCGGCTTCAGAAGCCCAACTAAGTCTTCAGTTAAACATATCTAATGTGTCTACAATGTTATTCTTAAAAGATTCATGCCTGTACAATTCAATTAATACATCTGATTAAACTTACTGATCGCTCTTAAGCGTACAGACTTTGCCAGTTTTATGCTATTATGAGGATAAGATTGAGGACAATCTGCATTTAATATATTTTTTTATTTTATTTTATTAAAATATGAAAAAAAACTTTTTTATTTTTCTTTCAACTTGACGTCTAAGTCATTTCATTATCTTTAATCGTAGACCCAATTAAGGGCTGTTCCTGACATTCTTTTTTGGACACCCGGGTTTTAAAATAAATCTTATATAATAAAAAAACTTATTTTTTCTTTTCCGGGTTCGTTTGGCTCTTATACCCAACCAATTTTCATGATTGAGGTATCAAATTGAAGGTTTGCACGCACAGATTTGCCATCAAGCATTGGTATATAATTATCTATAGTCTCACTCGTAAACAAAATTTGCTCTGCATGTATTTCTTATGGGAGTTAAATTTTGTTTCTCTTTGCCAAGTTTGTTTAGGTCTTCTACTCGAAGGCACAGATTTGCCATCAAGTATCGGCAAATATTTACCTACTGTATTACCGGTACTCGTCAAAAAACATAATTTGATTTATTTTCGAATTCTCACTTCAATTTAAGATGTATTTCACAAGTTATAACTATATAATCCTATATATTTTAGTCTAAGAACCTCCAGTGAAATACCGCCTTTCATTTAAGCTATTAGTTATTCAAATCAGACGAGTTTCAAACAAATGCAAGGTGAACCAACAAAAAATTATTTTTCATAAGGGTTTTCTATGATTAAAAATCAGTAGCTACAGTATTGTTAATGTTTTTCTACATGTCTAGACTCAAAATAATCAGTAAATTATAGGCTTTAATTTGAGCTATTGATCGTTTGAATCAGTTAAGCTCAAGATACTGTATTACTCAATAAAAAATCATAAATTTGATTATATCTTGGATATTATATCTATTTTAACGCTGCGGAGCAGCATGGGTCCTCTAGTACCTACTAAAATAAAAGAACTGACAGATACTTACAGATATTAGGATGTTCAGTAAATTTTCAAGTGTAGGTAACTGAGGGATTAACTTTTGCACTACTTTACTAAAAGCTTCAAATATACTATGGTCGTAAATTGACGTTAGGTAGAAACTAAGTAGAATCTGGTCATACCCTAGAAAAAGGAAATAAATTAGACAAACTCCCAAATTGAAAGATATTAAAAAATTAATACATTTTTAGCTTATAAAAATTATGCCTTTGAAGTTTTAATCAGTTACTTCTTGATGGTCAACAAGCATATAATACTAGAGTTTCAATATAATTTTATTACAAGCTATCAAAAGAAACACTCAGTTTTATTATTATTTTTTTACTTCAACTTCCTAATACCATAGACCCACAAATGTAGTCTAAGTGGTTAAGTAAGACAAGTGTTATGAGATAAGTCACATAGGCAAACCAGTAGTGACCAAACGGTGATAAGATAAAGCAAGCAATGGGCTTATCTGTCCCAAGATGCCAAACACGAGGTACCATGCTTGGTTTAGTGTTATTAGAATTTCAATAGCCAACTAACCCTACATTGAGTCTCAAAAAAGGTTTAGCAGCTTAAATAACAAAAGCTGATTTAAATTATTTGAGACCAGAGCACAAAATATCTATCTACCAGAATCTGACAGATCATCGTTTGCTCTCTGGTGGATGTCTCTTTGAGTTTCCATTTTGTTGTCTTCAGTCAACCCGTCAACTTTGTGAATAAACACTTCAAACTTTATCGCCGGATTGACTTTGAACGCTTTTGTGACTGTAAGGTGTAGTTTGTTCAAAGCATCCATATAATCATCCTGTGGACAAAAAAGAGCATTTACTCATTAGCTTTAACCTTGGAGCAGTGTAAAAATGGAATAAAAACTTGAACCGACTCCCAAATATACTTGAATATACTTCGTGATACCAAATTTTCCCATTCAACCAACTATACTTAGAATATAATTACACTATTGTAGGTCAACTTATCTATTTCTTTCTTTTAGGTTGTATATATGTTACGCTCAAACTCCAAATTCGGACAATGTCAGAAATTCTTACCCACTTTGCAATGTGGACGGTGTGAAATACACCCACGTCGAGGAGTGAGCATTTTATTCGGACATTGGCCGAAGCGAAATGCCCAGATTGCGTTGTGGGTAAACTGATTTACTCAAATGCCAAAGTCAAAACGTATTTCAGCAAATGAGCAAAACCAAAATACCCACAACGCGATGTGAGCAAAATTGTTTAATTGTTTATTTGTTTCAAGTACGAGTATAAAATAACATAAAAAAATTCAGGTGCAGTAAACAGCAAATTACCGAATATAAAAAGCTATAAAAAAGCCCATGGCAAATACACAGACATTGAAATGTTTATAGCGGAACTATTTTGTATGCCATAAGAGCAACTTTAAAACGGCGACTATTACACAGTTCTTGTTTGATTTGTATTTTACTAGTTGGCTCAGGCTGTTCTGCCTTGGTATATAAAATTCAATTTTTGTATAACTTAATACATTTTCACGATTTACCTAAACCTTCTTGCAACCACATCTGAACAAACCTTGCTTGGATCCAGATGACATCATTGTTTCTTTGCGAACGTTTATCAGGTACATCCTTGGTGCATATAAATTTACTTGGTGCCACTTGGAAATGGTTTCTTGAGAACTATTTGTCCAAAACTCCTTTTTTTGTAACAAGAATGTAGTAGTCATTGTTATTATTTACAACTGCTATTACAGGTCTAGGAGCTAGTTGTCACCGGTCAACATCAAGAATACTGACCATCACGATGTCTTTGACTGAAACTGGGGTTAATTTTCTTTCCATGTTCATTAACAGTTTGTCTGCCTGGGTTTTTAAGTAAGTAACACAGTTTTCCCGTGTTGTATCGAAATCAATAGCAGATTTTCTTGAGAAAGAAGTGCTCGAAGGTAGGTTTAACTGCTATCTATTTAGGTCTTCATTATGGATGCCGTGTGAGAACGAGAATTCGGCGTTTGCACAAACTAAAAATACCCACAACTCCACGTGGGCAATCACATTTGCTCAATCCCGTTGTGAGTATTTAGGATTTGCTCAATTGACTTTGGCATTTGAGTAAATCAGTTTACCCACAACGCGGTGGTTTACCATTTCGCTTCGGCCAGTGTCCGAACAAAATGCTCACTCCGCGACGTGAGTATTACACGCTGTCCACATCGCGAAGTGGGTAACAATTTCGGACATTGTCCAATTTCGGAGTTTGAGTGTAACATATACACAGGCCTGTGTTAGGATATTAATACAGTTTTTAAGCTTTAGGTGCCTATGCTTTTTTAATTAGTAAAATTCGACAACGAGAAATTCAACCAGTTGAATTGACAATATTTTATGAAAGGTTCAACAGCTAAGAAGAATATGATATATAGGGTTCATTGAAGGGAGTTATCTAATAAGTAGAAAGCTTTCCTCGCTTAGGAGAACTAATAATTTTTTTATAAGCTGAAGGCCAACTTGATTGGCGGGTTTTTGGACACAGTCCTTCAAGATACAAGTCTCACGCTCTAACCACTAGAACAGCGGCCACTACCACTGTATAATTAAATACAATTACAGAGGCGAAGACCAACTGTTTGTAAGTTATTTCATGCAATGCACACAATTTAATCAGCAGCAGAAAAACAATATCATAAACAGATTGTCAAAAATAACATTGTAGCCGCTAAGGATATGGCCTAGTTACTTTTGAAAACTCACTCCACTTCTGGCTCAGTTTAACTTTGATAGGAACCAAAATAATTACGACAAAAATTGTCTGCATGTGGTAAGTTGAACAAAATCACGTTCTACAACAATAGTTCTACTTAGTAATGTTAAGTAGTTAAGTTAGTAAAATTGTAGTACTACTGTTAAACAATATTTATTTTTACTCAAGGATACAATCTTAATTTACCTGTGCGTCAATAACAAAGACTAGAGCTCCACACCCTCCAAAGATCATATCAGAGTCAAAACTCGGGTCAAAAAAGTCTATTTGACCAGGAAAGTCCCAAATTTGAAACTGTACAAAAGATGAATTCGATATATCTTCTTTCACTATTTTATTTGTACTTTCTAAAAATAATGTTTCATTGGGCGACATCTTTTGGAACACCACTTTCTGAATCGAAGACTTTCCACTTCTGCAATAGAACATTAATGAGACAAATTGTAATTTCAACTAAAAACAATAAAATAACATAGGGCCTACAGTATCCTCAGTATTTTACCGAGTAAACTTGATATTAAAATGCAATGGTTTAGGCCAGTAAAGAGATACCTCGTTCTGAAAGTCCAGCTTAGCACGAAAACAGCAATGTTCTGCAACTGAAATCAGCCGTGGTAATTTTTTTATATTTTACACCAATACCAAAAGCCTAAATAAGGTAGGTAGGCCTACATCAAATAAATTTTAATCTTCAAATTATATTCATTTGTAAGAGTAAGAATCAATGCTGAGCTACAAAAAATGTTTCAACTATTTTTTTAGGTTGATTTTTAAAGGTTTTTTTGAGAGGTGAAAGAATCAGTAAGCAATTACTGACCTTCGTAAACCCATGAGCAGAATTCTCGGCTTTTGTTCCCCAGCTAAAGGTCCTCCAGGGCCGTCTCCATCTTGCTCGAATGCTCCATAACCAAAATCTTTAGGAAATGAGCCAACACCAAACCCCTGGCTATACTGATCGTCTTCATCTTGATCAAATGACTAAAAGAAGCAAAATATTTTAATTAATTTGTATGCTTTAAAAAAAATCATAAGTAGGCCTAACTAAGTATCGCTAAAAAGTTGCTTTTGGTATACTGCAACCAAAACAGCTCTTATCATGTCAATAGCTATTTGCTATGGTCAAGGTTTACCTGATATATTAACTTATCCGATTAAATATTAAGATTAACTTATAAATTGGTTCGATTTTAATATTGCATCAGATTTAATATTACCACATGACATAAGTTACGGGTAAATAAAAATAAAATAAAAGTTTAGGCCTAACTAAATTCAATGTTTGCATTGGGGAAAAACTGTAGAATCGATAAGTTAGACCTCTATCGAACAAAATTATTATCACTAGGTAGGGCCTAGGCCTAGGTAGATAATAAAGGGATAGGCCTAGCACTAACTTAATTACCTATTGCAGATTTTCTGCGAAACTCTACCCCACTCTTATTCTGGGAATGCTTAAGTAAATAGGGCGTTTGTAAAGCAGCAGTGGCTGCAGTGCACAGAGAATCCAAACAGTAGGCCTACTGTACAGTCTTATGTATGTACTTAGGTAGGCCCTACATAAGAGCTAACTGGGTCAAGGCTCTAACCTTTAAACTAAGGGAGTGACTCTAGAGCTTGATGATAGGCCTAAGGCCCTTAGAATTATAAGTTATAAATGCATCAAGGTACAAACATAATTTGTGTGCAGATTAATTCACGACCTTACTTCAACACTACCTCCTGAGAACAACATATAACCTTAACATCTAGGCTTGAGGTGCACAGGCAAGCCTACTTGATAATAATAAGGTTACAATTCCTTCTGTAAAATAATGTAAGTGGAGCAGATCTTTCAAATATAAATGCAAATATTTAATACGTCCCCAAAACTGTTTTATAGATTTTGTTTATGACTCACCATAGCTTTAATCGTGCAAGGCCTGATAAAAAACACGAGAACAACAGAAAATTAGACAAAAATAAAGCAGTTCATCTTTGTATTAGGTGCACTCATTTACACTATATATCTCTCAAAAGAACCCACTGGTAATAATAATTTGCGAATTCAACTCTTTTCTTTTAATGGTCAACATAACCATAACCACAACCAACACATTACCACTTTGTGAAATAATTTTAAGTATGTCGTCCAGTGTTTCCATACGCAAGAAAAAAATATCCCTGGGCCAACGTCAAAAAATCCCTAGTTATCCCTAGTCCGTGTTCTAATAATCCCTCCAATTATCCCTCTTCATCAAATCTAGATAACTTATTATTTTTGCAGCAATACCAATGGATATCATGTATAGCCACCTAAAATATGGTAACTGGTGGTATTATTCTTCAATATGGAGTCAATATTTTCATAGCCCATTAGTAACCAAGCTTTCATATTTATTATAAAAAAATACATAAATATCATTAGCTTAGCGTTCTCCAAACAAACACCTTTTACAACACTATACTTGCAACGTTGCCACTTCGAAGGCCGCGGCCTCCGGCCTGGAATTAAAGGTAGCCGTGATTAAAAACTGCCTATGTGGTACAAAACAAGATAAATTAAATAAAAAAATGACACAGATAGTTATATTAAAAATTTTATAAACTAATAATTTTCATTTATAAGTAATTACAATTGTTTCAAAAATGTTACTCCAGTGTCAAAATTTCAAACTTATAGTCTTTTTCAAACATGGCCACCATGCCTTGGTGAAAAGGTTACACAAAGTTACTTTAACCAAAAAACATCATAGAATTCACCGGAAAACAAAATCAAAACGAAAACAAACATTCGACATTTTTGACACAGGGCACAGGGCTACTATAGTTCGGCCGCTTAGAAAGCGACCTCCTCCAGCATTGTTTTAGCATTAGCGCGCAGGTCGTTTTCTAAGCGGCCGAACTATAAGAAACAAATACAGTAATCTAGATCCGCCATTACATTCCACCGACCGACTTGTCTTTCGCTTGTTTCGTGCAGGGTTGGCTGTTACTCTTCCCCTTGTCTGTTCCGACTTTGAAACACTACGTCACTACCACTACCTACAACCATAGATAAAACATACTCCTTGAGGAGTATCTTCTACAATCGATTTGTTACCAAAATCTGGGGGAAAAGTAGTATAATCAATGCGTTACGGTGTCAATGCCTTGCAAAATTAGCCAAAATAGGTCCTTGACGTTGTTGAAATACAGCCAAAATGTATCATTTTATCAATATTTCAATTTTATAAAGTCAAAGGCCTGAAATCCCTAGAAAATCTAAAAAATCCTTCAATTTCGCTGATTATCCCTAGTTATCCCTCAATCCCTTTTCAATCCCTCGAAGGCCCTAAATATCCCTAGAAAGGGATTTTTATCCCTCAAATGGAAACACTGATGTCGTCGTATGTCACTCCGATTCCGACTCCACTCACTCGTCACTCCACTCCTCCATCCACTGCTTTTGGACTAGATTAAGTCGAAGTAAAATGAAAAACAAAAAGAAACTGAATGCCCCTTTAGGGCTAGGGCCGTCGTAGAACTAAACAAACGGAACAATTATTATAGGTATTTTTACAGTTGGTGGCCCTTTGTAGTAAACAGTTTAACTGTGCCACTTTTTTTGCCAATCAGAAACGGTTATATGTATTTATATAATCATAAATTTTATGATCATCATGTCCTTTATTTCTTTTGAAAATAATACAGTAGTTTGAACCCTTAATTTTTTCATGATGAAAGTAGTAGGCCTAAATGGTGTTGACATGGGGAAAATCGTAGTTAAGCAAGTTTTTATTTGCAAACAAATATAATTTTTAATTTTACAAAAGTATAATAGCCTACTTGTAAAACACTATTACGTATTATGCTTGTAAAAACTGCATTAGATGGAAAAACTAAATATTTTTCATAAATTAATACATTTCCCGGTTTGTAGAAAATACTGAACAAAAAATTTAAAACTCTTTGGTAATGTGTGTTTTTCTTTAAACATTCTTGTCCAGTGGTTGTTTTAGAAGTCATTTTGAACACACTTCACAAATATTTTACATTTTGTCTTTGTCCCTGGCACATTAGTTTTATAAAAGATTTTACACTTAAATTTGGTCTTGCTGGCGTCTTTTTACCAAGGCAGACGGCGCACCACACCTACTGGGAGGTTAGATCAGTGGACTCTATGGTTGGACATTTCCATCCAATTGGTTTACAGATACTATAAGTTTTTGACAAACTTTCAATACACTCAAAATGATAAATAATAAAATTATTAATAGGTATTCTAATCATGATAATAAAACTGAGACACTACTGCGCATACAGGGGTACACTACCCCAATGAACACAGTACTGATAACACAAGCATGTGCTGGGGTATGCCAGACCCAGGGTGGTGATATAGATCGATGACTCGGTCAAGACTAACCCTGTGGCCAGATGATAGCATATGCTATTTTAGGCAGCTACTGTTATGCTCACCAGGGTTGCCACCAGCATACTTATAAAAATACAAAATTACCATACGTGGGGGTACGTCATACCCCCAGGCGCACGTTTAAGGGTTAAAAACGTGATTATGCTTCTCACTTTTCCTCTAAATCTATCTACTCGATTAGAAGCTACAGCCATAGACTAACCAAAAAGGGATGTTTTATCTATCATTATAAGTCAGTTGATGTGGTTATGGAATTGTCGGATTAGGAATTAACGTGAACAATTTTAACATCTGAAACTGTTGTGAAGTTACAGCCAGTGAAAAATGGTGCTCATGATGTTATATCTTTTTTCCCATAGCTAGAAATGATGACGCTTCTTTCTATCTATATTGCGTTGAATGGAGCCCGAAACCACCAAAAATTATTATTGAAATTGGACATCGTATTGTAAGAAACTTGTGTAACCTTCACAAACGAAACAATTTTCCTGAAGTACGTGGTAACCATAAAAGTACTTATTTACTTACTGCCGTGGCTCTTGGTACCAAATGAGGTACTTTACCTCGCCAACACACTGCCTCCAGACTGTAGATCCACTGCTTCATCCTCCCTTCTTCCCATTCTTCTCAGGTCTCTTCTCACTTGATCTCTCCACCTCAACTTGGGTCTTCCAGGAGGTCTTCTACCCTCGGGCTTAGGATGTTTCTCACTAAGGAGCCCTCTTCCTTTCTTAACACATGGCCTGCCCATCTCAATCTCCGACTTCTCACCTCAGCCACAATATCCGGGTTCATGTACAACTCTCAAATCCCTGTTGTGCTTAACTCTCCATTCTCCATTTTCAAAGGTTGGTCCAACGATTTTCCTTAGAATCTTGTTTTCGAACACTATAAGTCGTTTCTCGGTTTTCTTGCTTATCACCCAATTCTCTGAGCCGTATAGTAATACTGGTCTTATTATAGTTTTGTAAATTAATACGGATTTTAGTTTTCTCTGAAAGTAGGGGAGAACTCAACAATTTTTGGCATGCCGATAAACTTTTATTTGCTGCATTTAATCTTCGCTGAATTTCAGAGTCTTCTTCATTATTATTCGTCAGCATTACTCCTAGGTAAGAGAAATTGTTTACTTTATAAAATTTGTGTCCTTCTATTTCTACATGATTTTTATTATTTAATTGGGTAGCTCTTCCACATTCCATTATCTTGGTTTTGTCTTCATTGATATTTAAGCCTACTTTTTTTGCGTCGTTTATGAGTTTTGAGACCATAACTTTTAGTTCTTCTTAGTTTTTTTGGCAAGTGCCACATAATCTGCAAATGCCAGGATATTTATGTTGGTTCCCATAGTAATTACAGCTTCTAGCTTTTGTAATTCTTGTAGAGAGTCTTCCAGAGCTAGTTTGAATAGCAATGGGGACAAACCATCTCCTTGTCTCACTCCAGTATTTATATCAAAATCCTCTGAGACTTCTCCATTGACTTTAACCTTGCATTTAGATCCTGATACAGTTGACTTTGATAGATTTATTAACTTTTTAGGTATTCCATACTTTTCCATTACTTTCCAGATTTAAAGTAAACAAAAAATTAACCCTGTAATCCTAAAAGTAAGGATGCAAAAATTAATTTTTTTATTATAAAAAAAATATTGAATTAAATAGTATTAGTATGCGTATGAGCAAAATCTGAATCGGAATGTGAAACCAGAATGAAGAATTCATCCCGGTAAGCAGGTGCCTGCGCGCGGGCTTGGAAACCGACAGCCACTTCCATTTTTGAATGCAAGACGTGCCATTCCTTGCCGCCGAAAATCTGAATCTGAATCGGCGTGCACTCTGGACATTATTATGGTGATTCTAGATTTGATGGAAGTCTCACATTATGAATTATTTTCTAAAGTTTTTTCTCCTATGTTATAGAGCGGACGGGGTGGGGGGGGAGTTGGTAAAATACAATTCATCTAGGATTGTGCAATATAAAATGGCATTTAAGATTTTCTTTGAGCAGTTTCACTAAATTGTATATTTTGTTTTTAGAAGGCAAAGGAGCCATATCCACAGGTGGCACATAAGCTGAGTTTGAGTTTCAATATTTATTTATTATTTATTTATTTATTATCATCACATTACATCAATGATTGACAGGTGATTTGTCATCAAACTAAAATCTATTGTAACAAAACAACAATCATAATATTAAAAACAATTATACATTTGTTAGGAAACAGTGGCGGCTCTAGGACCTTGTCTAGGGGGGGGCTCCGGGGGGTTTGGGGGGTGTGGAGCACCCCCCAACAGAAGAGGGGGGTCCGGGGGTCCTCCCCCGGGAAAAATTTTAAATTTTTAAAGCCGTTTGGTGACTTTCTGAAGCAATTTTAACGCCTAAAACTGTGTCCAATAATAGTCCAAAAACTCCCATTTCACCTGTTGTTTGTCATGCATGAGAATAGACATAAGTAGAGTAAAGTAAAGTATATTTTTTTTATAGTTTTTACCAATTTATTTAATAGATCAGATTTATTATCCTAATAGAACTAGGCCTATATTAAATATGAATAGATAATGCATTCATTGATAATCAGGCTAACTTCGTTAGTGACGTTAGCCGTCGACGACAACGAAATGCCGCCGTCCATTATTATTTAGATTTAGGCCTTCAACCCACGGCAAATTTACCCGTAATAACTTATTAAGACTAATAATATGTAACTATAACTAAAATTGTCCGAGTCACTTTACCTATGGTTAGTTTACTTAGTTATCGGGTTGATTAGGTTAGCCTATACTAAAACTACAGACGTAACTTATTGACTCAAAGATACCAACTAACTAACTCAATCAATTAAGTATAACTATTCATAATTTCTACTTAGCTCTTTCAATCTTCAACAAACTACCGCTGCCTTCCTTACGCCTCCATCACTATCACTAAACCACTATTGATCACAAAACAACAGGTCGTTTGGCACTAAACTATAACTGAACTGTCACTGTGGTCATGGACATGGAAAGAAGTGAGGTTAGTTTATGTTTATGGTAGTGACAGTGTGGATGATGGCTCCAGCGCTGCCAACATGGTTCTTCCTATCCTAATCGTGTGTGATGCAGAATTATCCAGTTTAGGGTGGCTGCCCTGATTTATGGATGCGCGCGCAGCTTTGGACTCTGCCCCAGAGTCCCTATTGTAAAGCATTGGAATGACGTCACGGCACCCTCAGCGCTGTTAGGTGTTTCTACCATAAGACTACATGCATTGAGTTTGGGACGGAGGTTGCCGCCGTCCGCAATCCACATTATGAAAGCGACTATCGCAAAACAGTCATTACTGGATTCAAAATGTAAAACTATTTCATTTCATATTATTATCATATTGATTAAGTAGTCGTAAGTAATTGTAATTTAATTTTAATTACGACATATTATTTTTTTATTACATAAATAAAAAAAATATTGATTTTTGTATTGTTGGGAGGGCGGCGTCCGAGAGTCCTTATGGGCTAGCCGCTACTGTTAGGAAATCTTCCAGTGAAAAAAATGCCTTCTCCAGAAGCCATATCTTAAGTGTTTTTTTAAATTTCAATATGCAATCAATTTCTTTTATTGTTGAAGGCAGCTTATTATAAATTTTGGGTCCCATATATTGTGGGGATAAATGAAATAATTTTAGTCTATGTTGCATTGGCTTTATTATTTTTTTGTATCTTGTATCATGTCTGTGAGAGGGCTGACTCTCCATAAGTGTATCCAAGTTACTCTTGACCATCAAAGAAATATAATAAATATAAGAGCTGTATAAAGTGAGAATTTTGAATCGACTGAAATATTCTTGGCAATGTGTATCTGGAGGAACCTTGGCTATATGTCTAATCGCCCTTTTTTGAAGAATAAACACTTTTTTGCTTTCACTATACGATCCCCATAAAATCGGATAGTAAAAAAAGAACACCAAGTTATTAAAAAATGTGCTTTTATTTATTACGATTCACGATATAAAAATATTGAATATAAAATTAACAAAAGAAATAAAAAATCAGGTTTATAAAACCTTAAACATAACCCAAAACATATATCATCACTGTCTGAAGGTGTGTCTTTTAGGCTCTAGCACCCCAATCATTAACCAGCTAAGCTAATCGTCTGCCAGGTTGTCTCTTGTAGTCGCTACTCAAACTAGCAGATCATTAGAACTTTGTGATGTTTTACGCACATTACTGGGCGTGGTCACGGGTGGCGCACATCGACCAGTGGTTATATCAAGATAATGACAGGTTGACGAGCACCACTGGTTTTATTAGCTTAATCTTATTTTGTTACGTTTAAACTGTATACAATAGATTATTTTTTATTTATAGCCTATTCAGTTATTCTTATAAATAAAAAGACTTGTTTTGTTTTTGAGGTCTGAGGTATTTATTAAAGATATTTACTTTTGACAGAAATTCAATTCACGTTCTGTTAATGGATTTATTAGATTGGTCATTATTTCTTTACAAAAATACTTATATAAAATAGTTGACATCTCAAAGTAGGCTACATAATTCCACAAAACGGTGTTGACAATACAATTTTGACAATTTTACAAAAGATATATCACGCATTGACAAATCATTCAGAGTAAAATTAGTGATTTTAAGAAGTAAAAATCTGTGGGAAGAATACGCTGCCAGTAAAGTCTGCAGCCAATGAGTGCGGCGAAGACAAACAATCCAAAGAACTTGACTCCTCTACCCACAATCTGCAAAATGAAATCATTTTTGAAGTTTGTAAATTAAAACATGGTAGAAAGTACAACTTGTTCATAGATGATACTAAACCAGTAACATGAGACTTTTAATTCCTGGGTCATGCACATACACTGATATAATATTTGAGTAGTTAACAGTTAAGTTAAGTTCATTTTAAAATACCCATGATTATTAAAAAATACCCCCGCCGCAGCAAACCTGCAGACTAAGCGAATTTCCATTTGCCTGATTGGATTTACACTAAAATGTCTCCTTAAAAATATCACATTTATCCCTATTTAAATAGAATCAGTTTAACACATACTTAGGCTTGCTGCAACAGGGAGGGTAAAAGTGTTTTTTTATGTAAAATGTTAATTGTTAGTAAGAAATAAAAACATGTTCCAAATTTGGGCAAAATATGTTAATAAACAAGTAAACTACAACAGTTTACTTATTCTCCATAAGAATAACATGGGAATTTTAAATTTGCAATTTTTTTGAATTTTCTCCGTAACCATTAGGCGCATTATAACGCTTCAATATACTAAATTATTTGTTTTTTTAAGCTCTACAAAATGGTTTGGAAAGAAATTGCAAAATTTGATGTTTTTTGGGTCAAAAATGGGAAAACCCATTTTTACCCCATAAAACCCCCCATAAACCCCCGTTCCCATGGTCCGATCATATTGGTTCGCGAACTCGTTTGAATAAACGTAGGTTTACACGTTTGTACCAAATTTAATCAAAATCGGATCATTTTTGCTCGAGTTATCGCGCTAACGGACACATATATATAAATATTCAAATATATATATATGAATTTGAACGGATGGTGTTTTTGGCCTTTAGGGACCTCAAAACGAAAAAAAAATCGGTCCCGGGTCCAGGTCTTACCATGAGTACTACGGTAATAGCTTATTCCCTATATGGGCTTATTAGCTTATTAAGATATATTTTGTTCTGACGATTATTTACATTGGATATCCTGTTAATTCCAATTAACAGTAACACACGGTCTCTGAGACGCAAAGTTCAGTCGTAGTTAACCGCAGTTCCCCAAAAAATTGGGTTTTTAGTTTTTCATTACACTCACACTCTCTTCAGTGTGCCTTCAGCGGCTGGGGTGGAATTTTGAGGTTAAGTGGTAGTGGGCAGCAGCATAGACTAAGGAGAATAACAATTTTATTCTCCTTAGTCTATGGCAGCAGCTTTCAACGGTCTCATGCACTAACGTCACCGAAAGTGTGAGCGGTCTACACCGACAACACTATAGGTGTTTTGAATATTGTTATTGACGTCTCCATATGCGTTCTGCCAAATATTTTCCCCTTATATATAGGCTAAAATAGCTGAATTCTTCTCTGTGTTAGAGAAAATATTTACAATATTAATGGTGGTTAACATATTTACAATGGTTTATAATTTTCTGTGTTATTTGGCCTTTCGGCAATTGATCTTCCTGGGGAATGGTTAATGTAAAATTGTTGGGACTCTAATGCATAACGATCCCACAGATTTTTATGGCTGTTATGATGCTAAACATTTTGTGACAAAAATGAATCTACTAGCAATTTAAAAGCATCTCTACATTTAATTCAATTACACTTTTTGACAGCAACACTCATATAGGTGCGCATTTTAAGCTAAATATTGATATTGATGAAGGGTGAGCTAGGATGGAGTGATCTGTATCATTGATTGTTGTTAATTTCATATATTGTATTATACCAACCATTGACCAGCAATGCTGAAGTACACTCCCCATCTATTAGGACCATCTGGTGCCAATTTTTAATAAGAAAAACATAGTTCTGTGAGCCAGTCATAGATTGCACTGGTGTCTAAAATTCTATTTTTTCTTTATTCTTTTTTTGCATCCACACATTCGTCAGAAATCGGTGATTTACATCAGCGCAATCTGTTGGTGGCTCATGTCAACTACATCCATTTTGATTTAGAAACCGGTGACAACTTTTAACATGGGAATAGAATGTCTAGTTCTATGAACACTGAACAGTCTAATATTATATACTATATACTATTCTACAAAGTAACAGAATATTCCTACCTTGTCCTGCCATTGTTTGTTTTTTGCACACTTGCTGTAACTCATCTCGGAGAAAGTGACAGAATTGTAGAGAGGCACCCACGTTGAGGGGAATAGCCAATAGAGAACATTGTCCAGCCTCTTTCGCCACAAGAAACTATTTCTGTTCACTAGGTCTCTCATCTGTAATCAAAGAGTTGCACATTTGTAAAGTACATCCATACAAGTTCGATACACAATTTGTATATTGAGGCAGGCGAGTGAACGATGAAGTGTTGAGTGGATAAGATTTAATTAAATCTAAGGCTTACCTTACGATCCAATTTATTATATAGTGGAGACCTAGGTTTCTACGTCAAAACGTTATCGTCAGTCATTTGTCTCATAGGTTAGCTAAACTTCTTGTTTGCCATCTCTTGCTTGAGATAAACTTACTTGAGGCAAATGAGAAGTTTAGCTAACCTATGAGACAAAGGACTGACGATAACGTTTCGACGTAGAAACCTAGGTCTCCACTATATAATAAATTGGACCATAAGGTAAGCCTTAGATTTAATTATGTTCAATAGCGATCCAGAGGCTATATCTCCAAATGGATAAGATTATACATACGTTCCTGACTAAGGCCTTTGGTACAATATGAGCAGTGAGTTATAGGCGGCGAGCGGTGCCACTCTGACATCAGGTCTAGTTTAGTTGCGTGTAAATTTATTGAGGGTAGCCACTATACGTTAGAGCGGTGAGCGGCAGTAGGTAGCGCCGCCAAGCACCACTCATGATATAAGTCTGTTTTTTTTTGTAATGCTGCTAGACACTCAAATGAATCGACCCTTCAGTTCTGTTGTAAATCGTGAAGTGTAGTTGTAAAACTGTCCTTCTTAACGCAGTCTTCCAACTCAATCTGCTCAAAACATCCAAAGTAGGGTTGGACATCCTCGTGTATTCGAAGGACCTATCACCATCTTCCCTTAGCAGCAGACTTAGATGGTGGCATTCCCTAAACACTCTTTTCCTCTCGTTAGTAACCCCCAGTGTCTCCTATACCTCTTTTTTTATTAAAAAACCTAAGTTTATCTTTAACAATCAACTGTCAGATTATAAAAATAGATACATCCTGAGAGCCTACAGTTGGCCATCTTTAATTATACTGACACCTACAACGGAGAGAACTTGATGAGCGTTAAGAAAATTACTGGTCGTATCGTAGCCACCACTGCCAGAGTGCCACTTAAATGTCCCGCAGGTTGCCACTAGTTCTTTGTCAAAACTAGGGACTAGAGAGTTACCCAAATCGAGGAAAAGCAAGTTAGCAAGTAGTTTCTTACACTCTGTTAGACTACTTGTACTCAAATAGAAAATAAAACTTTCATTTACTCAAAGTTATTTAAACAAACCAAACCCATAAAATACATTGAGTAGATTTAATAAAAAATGTGACTAGCAATATTGTGCCACAATACATACAACGAACATTTCCCAAACGTTAGCAGTTAAAATTAACTTTACCAAGCTGGGTTAGTTAAAAAAAAACATCATTCTTAATCACACTCTAGCATGGTGACAAGATATCATCACCTCTATGTAGTTGTACATAGCCAAGTCACAGATTGCTTGAGCGTCTTTGCTACGAAGTGAGGAGAACTGAGGCAGAGCGGAGGTCAAGTCCCAACCACAGTCACTCAAAACTTTGTCTAGCAGTTTGCAGTCCTCGAAACCCTGCGGAAAATAAACCAAATGATTCTTTCTAGGTAAATATATAACAATTACTCTAAAAATTCCATATTTCAACAGAAAGCCAAGTGGCAGATAAGGATGTTTTGAGTTCTGCTAGCTAATCTGATAACACGAGTATCTATTATCTCCTGAAATCAAATTTAGTCAGACAGGTTAGCTGAGCTCTACACCTTACCAAAACTGTTTCTGGCAAAAAAGGATGCCGCGACCACATAAACTATTTGAATAGGCTTGAAACAAATGTACATCTTACAATTTACATAACATTCAGAATCATTTGAAAATTTAGTAGCCCGAGTAAGTACAGTATATTCAACATCCGTGTTTGTTTCCATGAAATAGGCAACATTATTATTTGCAAATACAGTACTGTTATATGTGCGTTTTGAGCTGTTAACACTTAAGAAACCTCCTGGGAGGACTGAAAAATCAAATTGAAAATACAATTTTTCTTCGTTAATGTAATCAGGTACCGGTAACGTGAAAAATTTGCTAAGTATGAAGGTTGGATGCAAGTAAGTAGTGTGTATTCTATTCACTTACACAATTCATGCCCTGGCCGTAGAAAGGAACCATAGCATGGGCAGCATCTCCGATTAATACTGCACTACTGCCAAGGTTGTAGGGCTCACACTGTTAACAAAACATTTATTTCATACACAGTCACTGCTGACACAACATTTGCTACAAATGTATTCCTTTCGAGTGTATGCAAATAAATTACTTACAAATTGGCAAATAAGTACCCTACTAGAGATTCTGCATTGGTACACAAAAATCCAACAATTTTTAATGTGCTAGAATGTGTTAATTAATTGCATGAATCTAATTCGGTAATGTGTGACAATCAGGAATCCAATTATTCTAAATAGTTTGATCATGATTAAAATTTAGTCACTTATTATAATGCATCATCATAATAAGATTACAAATTTAAACTTTTAATCTGTAAGTTATGGTGTGGTTAAAAAATCTTACCTTAACAGATACAAGATGGGAAGCAGTGGCAGCGAAGAAGTCCTTGACTAGTTTATCTTTCCCGATGAGTGGAATGGAGTCAGGGAAATGTTTTTGGAAGAAGTTGAGTAGCCTAGCGGGAGTGTCAAGCGCAGCAAACTGCGGGAATGGCATGAACAGAGTGACAGTCCATGAGTGGTCTTGATTGGGCAGAGCAATCATCATGAAGGAGCCTCGAGGCCATATGTGTAGGTAGTTGGGCTTCATGGCAAACTGTACACAAGGAAAACATTAATGAAAATCTGTGTGATGGATCTTAATTATAACTTACTCTCATGGCCATGGCTCATGGCTCTTATTTGTGACTTATGACCAGCTTCCTGTCTCTTCGTTCTATAATACTTTGTATCTCCTTTAGGGGCTTTCTACCCCTTCTTTGAGCGTCCAGGGAGTCTTCTCTAACTGAGGTTTCCTTCCATATTTTTGTCCTAGCTTCATCCACTCTCCTTATATGCCCAGCCAATCTTGAAAGGTTTGCGTTTTGCTTCATCCACAACACCAAGTGAATGACACAAATCCCTTGGTACACTCATGTTAGATAATATGAACCTTTGTAGCACACTCTATGAGTTAACTTGTTAAATTCCAACCATTTTCTAATTGAATGACATATTTCCTACAGCTGGTCCATATCTACTTTCCATATTCAGCTGGTAGTTGAATATCTACTTCAGTATCCAAAATTCAATGGTTAAACTCAAAGGAAAAAAAAACAAAAAAAAGGAAAAAAAGGATTAAAAGTTGTCTGATATTTGTTGCCTACCTGTCCGTCTTGTGTAGGAGGTATGCACAGTTCCAGGTAGCCATGTGGTATGTAGGTCTGGGAGTAGTTGAACATCGGCCGCCGCATATACACAGCCCTCACAGCCGAGTAGGCCCCATCAGCCCCCACCACCAGGTCTGCGTGTTCCGTCACCTCATCACCCTCTGTCTGTCTAACATGGCAAGGGGATAGAACTATAGACATACCATTCCTGTAGCCAGTTTTATATTTAAAAATTAAGGTAGTTGAATTGAGAATGAAGATGACATCGTCAACTACCAATTTCTATTGAATATGCCAACTTTTAACCAAACCAAACAGGAATGACATCTTATTGTACCGAAAAGTATCTTTTATCCAACCATAAATTAAGGAACAAAATAGAATACTGACAGTAGCTCACTCTATGAGGTAACTTGTTAAATTCCAACTACAATAGACTCCCTCTTATCTGGACTCCTCGGAACCGAGGCCAATCCGGTTAAACCAATACCCCCAAAAACTTGTTAAAACAGACTGTTTAATACTATATACATATACATACTATAACATACATATTTGACTTAAATTTAGGAGAGCATAGTATTTAAACACGTGATCACTGGTCTCAAATCTTTACCACGAGAACAGTGGTTTCAGTACCGACCACTTCCTGCCGATCTAGTCCGGTTAAACCGATGTGCTGATAAAAATTGTCCGGTTAAAGAAATGTCATTTCCGCCGAGTGTAGTACAGTTAAACCGATGTCCGGTTACAAGGTGTCCGGATAAGAGAGAGTCTACTATGTTTTATTTGAATGACATATTTCCTACAGCTGGTCCATATAGATTGAATTATCTACTTCCGTATCCCAAAGTCAATGGTTAAACTCAAAGGAAGCAATCACATGAATAGTTTTGTGCTCATGATCACCCTTTGAGTGAAGTATCAGCAAACAGACAACATCCACCTTTATTTTATAATATAAATTAGAACAAAATGTTAACAAGATTATAGTTCCTTAGTAGAATGACAAGTACCTTTTAAAAGTGACCAACCCTGCCTCCAAACGTGTGTGAACCAACTTGTGCTCAAAATGTATCTTTACATTTGAGAACTTCTCTGCCGCTGGAACAGTAATGTAGACATCAAAACTGTACAATATTTACAAGGTATATCTACATATCACATTTTTATTATAACACTTTAATATATTTCCTCACTAGCTGTACCCGCGGGCTTTGCCCCGTTTAACTTCATGAGTATTCGCATGGCTCATTCACGTCCTGGTTGAAGTTCGTTCACTACGCTCACTCACCTTTAGGTTGGAGCTCGTTCGCTGCGCTCACTTGCCTTTGGGTTAGCTCGTTCGCTACACTAACTCGCCTCCAGGTTGAAGTTCGTTCGCTACGCTCACTCACCTTTTGGTTGGAAATTAGCTGTTGTCATAAATTAAAAAAAAATAATAGTGCTGCACCCTGTTGTTAATTCTTGTAACTTTGATGCTATTGAACATCATAGAACAGAACCAACTTGTTTAATTGAAACAGCTGTTAAGATTCATTAATTCCTTTTAAATATGAAAAATCATAAGGTTAACATGGGGAACTACAGAGCCACTGGGGCGGAGCCCGAAAGGATTTTTGAGATAAGAATATGCTTTAATGTTAATCGGGAATGTGAGCTATCATCATGCCAAATTTCAGCCCAATCCGTCCAGTAGTTTATGCGTGATTGAGCAACAAACACACACACAAACTCGCAAACTTTCAGATTTATAATATTAGTAAGATGCTGTCTTTACATTTACTAATATTAAGTAAAACTAGTGCACCTGTTGCTCGAATTTGAGCAATTGAAAAGTATTACATGCGTTATTTCAAAACGAATAACAGTCATAATTTGCGATGACTTAAAAGAGTCAACTCGTAATCAATCACTCCACTCCAGTTATCAAAACTGAAAACGAACTCACTCTGAAAACGAACGTTCTTGTGTTTTTGTTTACTATGAACAGCTGTAATTCTTACAAATTATTCGTCTGTTTAAGTAAACAAAATATTTTCTTCACAAGAAATACATTGGGATTTTGATGGCCTGTGGGGCAAAGCCCGAGGACTTTTACAACAGGAATTGGTGAAAGGGGGCGTCTACAAAAAAAACAAACTTAATTTTGAGTATTTTGACACATCGTTTGTAAAAATCTGTCCATTATTATCGGAGGAGTAGTGATTCGTAGAAAACGCCTTCACGTATTATATATATAGATATCATTACCATAAGTAAAAGCGGATTCAGGGTTTGTTTAAAAAACAATGATCTGTTTATAGTAAGATATAGTTTGAAATTAATCGAATGATTGAATCTTGGCCAAGTAAAGAATCAGAGAGGCTAAATTAAGCAATAAACAACACACTTGATTATTTGTGGTCAAATATTTATGAAAACACTATTATATAACAGACAATGAAAAATTGTTCACATAAGGAACATGAGTTATTGTACATTGAGCTTTTCAATTAACTATCAATTATCATTACCTGTTAGAAGAACTTCATTGAGATACTTGCGACTAACGGAATAGATGCACTGAAATGAGGAGTAAGAATTAGCAATTAAAATTCTTTAAAAGTAGTTTTATTGATTCTAACTGTGTATCCATCCGCCTAAAATAATTTAACAATTCCAAATACAAAAAAAATTTAGTTCTTACACTAAAACATATGGTTTCAAATTCTTTCTTTGAAACAGTAAATTTAAAATCGCAGTGCGATACCAAATCCAAAATCTAAAACCTTGCTTTCCCTTCAGTTCTGATGGTTTTATTTTTTCTTAAACATATAAATTAATACAAATTTATTTACAGTGGATTGATATGTGCAGTAAATAACTTAAGTAATAATATATAATGGGCTTGTTTAAGTTACACAACCAGTATAAGGACTCAAGTTATGCACAGGCAGAAACCCTTGGGATAATTTTTCATTCGCACATTTTAATGCTTAGAATTAACAAATTATTTTATTAAATTCTTCAACCAAATTTCTGGATAATATACAAACCTCCTTTCCCCGTGCATCGTAAGGTATCTCACGTAACGAGCCGTCCAACCCGTGTATCATACGAGCCCTCATAGGTATACCGTGATCCAGCATGACGTTCTCTAGTCCAACCTGGCGTAGCGCTGCCCTGGCGCGCGCCGACATAGCCAGGTTGATGGAGCGGCCTTTGACGAGCTCCGTACTGCGTATGTCTGAAAGACAACTTTATTGTAGAAATAAAAACTTTAGTTCAACTCAGAATTCTTACAGTGCTCCCTCTCAAACTTCAGATGCTTCTTACCTACATAAAAATTACGCACATGAATAAATGCGCTGCCATATCGATGGCCAAGTGAAGAAACAAGTTGCAACCTTCATGTCTTGCTCTGTTCAGTATAGTACTGTCAGTTTAGTACAGTACTCAATATTTTGGCTCGTATAAAGTATGTTTTTTAAATTTAAATGCTTATTTTAGTTTTAAAAATGTTCCCTGAAAGGTAGGGAGTTTACTGTGGATAGCCTAAATAAGGATATGAACTAGGTTTTATTATGTTATTAACGCCGATGGCATAACGTTCCCAAAGAAAACTGTTTAAACCCTGGTCTTGTTACTGTCTAATGTCAAACTATTTGTTAGGAAGCATAATTAAGTCATAGCCCAATAACAAAGAGCATGTGGGTCTGGAAATGATCTAGCTTTGGAATCTAACCAGCGACCTTCAGGTTTGAAGGTGAGCACTATAACCACTCGGTTAGCCAGATAGTGATTACACAAGACATAGGCTACCTATTGGACATACTTATTATAATTAAGTATATAAAGTGTTTACTTATCTACTTCTTTTTTTCTTCTTTCTATTTGATCAAAAAATGATTTGTTTTAACCGCAAATTCAATTGACGCACAGGCTCACTGCCTATGTCAGATTATTCAACTATATGTACAATTTTTGTTAAATTTAGATTTTAAGTAAAAGGTTAATTAAATGTATTACAAATTTCACGTTTATGCTTTTTTCGTTGAATAGTTTTGTACATTTTTGTTAATTATTTTGCTGGAAAAAACATATATTTCATTCATACATATTTGCAAAGTTGGATGAAAAACATGGCTAGCTCTCATAAATACTGAAAAATAATCATTAAAACTCACAACCAACCACACAATCAAAAGAAAAACTCCAGTGGAAATCCCAATCACAGGTATTCAGTTTTATAAACATTTCTTGAATTTAGTAATGGTATATTTTAATTTATGGAATACCAGTATTAAAATTGTCAGACAATGGACGTAAAATCCTGTTTATGCTTGTTCAATATTTTGGTCACTGCTTGACTAAGACAAGTATTACTCATTTAAAACATATTTATATTTAGCTGAATAATATACAAAATACATATTGTTGTATCTTTGTGTTTTTTCATAGTTTTTCAAGGTGTTAAGTTCTGAGATACGGTATATATTTCAAATTTTATTTTGTAGTGCTGTACTGCTGTACGCTCCAAAAATAGGTACCGTATACTAAAAGTTGTATAATAGAAGTAAATCTTTCACACCCTTACCTTGTCTGTATTCATATAGATGGACTTCATGGCCTCTTTGTCCAAAATAACATGCACTTAATGATCCAACCTACAAAGAATAATAAATTAAATTATTAAAGCTGCTATACATTAAAACCAAGTGGTATAAATGGCATATACACACAAATCTGGAATAAGTATTTATTTATTTCAACGGTTTCTCCATTAATACAATTTTGTCTAAAATTAGATTTACAAGATGGCATGGTATTGAACGTGTTCTTAATAAGGGGTATAAGACAATGTTCAAACAAAAGAGTATATTTTTTAAAGAGGAGAACCTTGTACAGTATGTGATAAAACTAAATTGTGTTTAGTTTGCTATAGAGGTTATAGTAGTTGGTACGGTATTTAGTTTAGTAGTAAATAAACTAATAAAATAATTTTGCCACCTATAACATAGGATGCATTGGTGCAATAATTATTACTTTCAACAAATTCAATGTTATGTATAATCAATTAATTTTACTTACCAATCCTCCTCCAACAATGATAACCTTGAGTTGTTTGCCTTGCTCCATGTTAAAGGCAGCACAGTCTCAATCCTAATATCCTACCACCTCAGAACAACAGCTGTCTCTGTCAGTTTAAGTTGAGGTTATGTAACCCAGGGCTTTGGCTTCCATATCCATTGTGATATCTGATAGTGAAGCCCAGTGGGGCAGTGGAAAGTGAGTATCTTTTTTGGTATCAAATGATAACAGGTATTATTTTTACTGTGTGGCTTATTGTTTTTATTATTATTTGTAAATCACCATGTACTTAGCAAATTAGGTTAGAATGTAATTGGAGATGTTTTAACTCATTGGGCTGAATTCTGAATAACTGTTCCATAGAGTAAGATACAATTTTAAAGATACTGAATTATGGTGTATTCAGTTTCCAACATTATATAGCACTTAGCTTGTATTTACTCTTTTCGAAATAACTGTAAAATTGTATTCTTAGCAAAAAAGTGACACTAAAATAAGTAGTTTAAAAAAATTTATTAAATAACTTTTGGTTAAAATTTAACATTTCCCACCCTGCTTACCACAGACGTTAGTCAAGAGATGGAAAGAAAATAATACACCCAGTCCAACTCACCTTATCTTAACTCAAACATTCTATAAAAAAGTTAAGACAGTAATAAACTCCCACAAAGCCAAAACATCAAGTGGAATTGGTGAGTTTTCCTCAAAGATAACAAAGAATTGCTCTCAAGAACTCATCTCACCTCTGGTTAATCTCATAAATTAAGCTACACCAGGAGCAAGACCCTTCTACTCACTAAAGGAATTTTATGAACATTCTGTGAATTAAAATGTACTTTAAATTACTGTCTACAGTGGTTTAATTGAATTACTTCTTTGTTTTCATCTTTAACACGGCCATGGAATACTACTTCATGGTAGTGAATCTGCTATCGCAGTTACCAAGCAAAACCATGCGAATGATATTTTGTCTCAATTCTAAAACAAACCCTCCAAAATTGTGTTTGCATAGTTATTGGGGAGAATGGTAAATAATTACAAAGTTAAATTTGTAACATAAATCTGTCTGTTTATTCACCCTTTTACCATTTTTTACACTTCCAAATTTAATAAAACAATTCCCCCCTTGATAACAATTGTACAATAACATAATATTGCTTTTGATATTGCTATACTGTAAAAAAACAAAAACAACCAAATACCCATAATGGAATAAATTTTTAACAAAAAATATTTATAGCTTTGGAGTGAACAGTTTTTGATAATACAACAAGTTATAGTTTATAATTAGTTTAACCACGTTTAACATATTTTTGCTAAAATACTTAACATATTTTTTGATTGAAAATATTAAAATGAACATATAGATGATTTTTATGTAAGTTATAGACACACTATGGCTCATTTCAACGTTAATTCCTACAAATAACGTTTTTATTGTATTGAGTTTTTTGAACAATTATTATTCTATTAAACATTAAACCTAGATGATATTTAGTTTCCAATAGTGATAACATTTTTCTATCGTTTGTTTTTGTTGACTATGCATTAAATATTCAGTAGGTATATTTTCAATGTTGTGTAAATATTAAAACTAAACAGTTCTGCTATTTAAAATGAGCATTAATATAATTTAAAAGGCAAGTTGTTTTATACATTTTTATTTTACCAGACTTTGGCTAAACAATGTTATTAAAATATTCTGAAGAATACATGTGGTCACCGACAGGGAAAAAGTACTTGAAAGTTATAATCATTACAATTACAACTAAAACAATCAATTGATTGGATTTGCATATATATTTATGAACAATTCACAAATTTCAATAAAAATTTGAGCAAGTAAAAAATTCAAAAATGTTTTTATTATATTTTCACTTTTTTGGTTTTTGTAAAGCTCTTTTAAACCTCCGTGATATTAAAAAAGGCATATCTTGGTTACACTCTAACAAATCTAACATTTTGAGTATTTTCAAAGCAGATGTAGAAGAAGAATGTATTCTGCTGAAGCCGTAGTTGCTATATTGTATAGTTGGGTATGGGTCTAGTACAGCACACCCTCATTAACCCGAACCATTAGATAACAGTTTGATAAAATGTCATCCATCTAACTAAGAAATGTGCCATTGTAAATTATGGAATTTTTTCCATAATTTACAATGCTTTAGATTAGGTTTACACCAGCATGTAAACATGGCATCACTAACTGCCTCAGTTATTAGTGCTGAGTCATGTTTGGTTTTCAAATCTTGAGTCTAAACCTAGTTCGCCACTGTAATGACCGTCAGTTCAGGTATAATATTCTAACGAGGAGGATAAACATGTTGGATTATAACAGTTGTGGTTAACATCTAGAAAACCAACGTTTGATTCTACCACAAAGGTCATATTACACACACTGTGCATATTAGCTATAATTATTCTTTAAACAAAACACTACGCTGCTAACAGTTTCTTGAGCTAAACAAATCGAGTGGCTTGGACTAGCGTTCCAGTGTGACTTGTGACAATGTTTACAGGGGCCGACTTGACACACTACTATCTGACGCCAGAAATGAAACAAATGATGGTGGCGCCAGCTCAAATGACGCACCAGCTCACATCTCAACTAAGAGGTAAGTCATTTGTGGTTCACACGCTCCATTTTTTGCACCACTAAAAAAGTTAAAATGACACTACTCCTACATGCTGATGTAAACCTCGCATTAACTAGCATTATTTCCAAGTTGAGAATACATTATTCAAGCTTTTTTCTGTACAAGGTGTTTCATTAAAAACAATGGTTACCCAAGTGGCCCTGGGACACCTTTTTTTATTACAGTTTGTTGGGTTTAATGCAGACAAGTTTAATTCCCAATTAATCCAGACTAATACAAGTCCAGTAGTGTAGTGGGGGGAAACGGCGTCCCCACTCCAATAATTCCAATAATTTATCAAATAGTTCTATATTGTAATAAGGGGTCTGTTTTTTTCCAGGGGGTGGGTGAGGATTCCAACACTGGAAAATTTACAACACCAAAGGGTACAACCTCAATAAATAATAAAATAACTTTTCCATCTCTTAACAATAGTTAAAGGTCTCAAACCATTTAAGATATTAAAAATAAACTGTAATATTTCAGCGTGTCAACATCAATATATGATAATTTATCGTTAAATAAAATAGAAAGGTTAATTTCAAACTTACTTTCTACTTCAAAACCTAAACCCCCGATATACATTAACGGCGGTGACTAAATAATACACGAATCACCTAATAAATAACAAAACTTAATTACACAACCATCAAACTATACATGGAATATATTTAACTGGAATGTAACAATTTTTTCTGATTTCAATAATATCTACATTACAACTAGATTAACACTAACAAGTGAGGTGAGGGTTTCATACTACGAACATCCCAAAAAGAATGTCTAATTGAGCAATAAAACTATAAAGTGACTTTATTGATTTCTGATTATAACGATGGTTGCACATCAGCTTATCGCTGGTAAGGTACTCTGTTTGATTGTCAAGATTCTGTCTTTGTCTCAACCTGAATTGCCATTTCAGGTCAACAGTTTAACATTGTGACAAGATTATCACCGTTGTATTTATTTTAGAACGTGGAATCAACATTGTCAAATAATAAACTAAATGGTGATTAAAGTAATGGGGAAGCTTGTTTTCTTTAAATTAACTTTCATATTTTGATTAGTGCTCTCATACGGAATTAAACCGCAAAAATATAACCTCTGCTGTCACTTAAAAAGGAGCACGTTACTTCCTTTGAGGAGCAAACTGTTTTCATGCATTAAAAATTAGTTGTATCTAACTGAACATCTAAGTTCTATCCGTAGAGTTTAATTTTATTCATACCACAACAAATTATTTATGACTTGGTCAATTCAGTATTATCGTTTTTCAAATTTTAAAATCAGAATCAGAACCACTTTAATATCATTTTTCAACATAACATTGCTGTAGACAACATCAAAGAACAAAATAAATACAGTAATATGCAGTATACTAGGAAAGAGTACAATGTACTTGTCAGATTATAATAGATATGTACTTTGTTTTGTTTTAGTAAACATTGATTACTGTACTTTATTAAGACATAACGGATGGAGTAAGATGCTTTGTGTAGCTTCATTACTGGCTAATACAACCTGATAATGTATTTGTATTGAAAGGATAGTTATCAAGGACATCTGAATCTAGATTTGAACGATAAAAAAACTACCGACTTTTCTATATGTCGAACTGGCAACCTTCAGGTTACTAGATAACTAATAATAAAACAAAAATAATAAACTTATTTCTAGAGAATGACAATTCAGGCTGGCAAATCAATAACACTAATGGTAAGCTTAAAACTAAAAACCTAAATGTGTAACAGTGTCACATAATCTACTATCACTGGTGACTTGATATGATTTGAAAGGCACAACATTTTGACCATGAGTATGATAAGGTGTAGGACGTAGTGAGATCCTACTGTAACAGATTGGAGCATTACATCATTCAACTACCAATGCATATAAACAACACACTATAAGGTAGGGTAACTAGACTAACAATATCGAGAAAAGATAAATAAGTGTTAGAAAATAAACCGAAGAAATAAACCTGAGTAGCAAAAATAACCGCAATCGTAAAATAAATACTTCAATTCCCATAAAAATTAGAAATGACTATAAAATTAGGTGACTAATCAAAACTTAAAACCTCTTAACACTAATGAGTAAAATAAAACAAACCGGAATGGTCCATCTACCTTTACACTATATAAATATAACAATGAGAAATCAACAAATATCATTTACGATAAATATGGAGTACATTCAACAATTGATAACAATAACAATAAAATTTCATGGACGGACGTTAAGGCGATATCTACAAGAGAACAGCCGCTCTATTGGGCTGAGACTGTCGGATATGTACATGTCTATATCTGACTGCTCGTGGGACTAGAGATTCCAGGCCAAACTACACGTACGTGTAGCCTAACATGCGACAACTGTGTTTACAAACATCGCTCTCATTGGGACGTGGTATGAGCATATTACTGACTTGAGCTTTGTTGAGCAACACACTTAATTGTTAACTTTCTTGATCACTACTAACAAAATCTTGGAGCTTTTCCCAAAAAGACAATTATGTCCCACAACACATACAGTGATATTTTCAGTAAAGTGAGATAGTGTGCTGTTTGTTTTATCAAACAAGTTAACTCGTTATTTCTGAAGTGATACATTATTATACATTCAAAACCATATGCAATGTAAAAAATTCTAGTGTTAAGATAATAAAAAAATATATCTCACTTATCTTAACTATATGACAAAACTGTTTAAAATTAAAAACAAATTAGAAAATAATAATTTTATTTTTAAATAACCAAAATAAACAACAAAAGTTATTTGTTATGGAATGGTTTAGCTATGTGTTATATAATATAACTCATTCTCCAGAAAACTCACGTTTTATGGATAGCAAACTAAAATGTATGTACAATACTCAAGTTTTAAGTAAAATGAAAAAGAAAACATTGAAGAACATAATAATACACTTGGAACTTTTTGAGAAATACAACAGAAATACTGTATTATAAATAAAATCAAACAAAATCGTGGATAATAATCACTTAAAGGTAGGGTAAAAATGGGTTAAGAAGAAGTATCATGGTTGAATTAAACAAAAACAAAATAACTCCCAGAAAGTAAAGAATCACTTGACAAGAGTATTAAACAGAAAATAATATCAATATTTGAGCATGTTAAAAGAAAATCTGAGTTAAAAAACAAACAAATTACAATATCAATTCTTCTTCTTCACTTAGGTGCGTATTTTAAACTGAACAAGAATGCAACGTGAGGTTAGAATGGAGTGAGATGATCTGTGTAGCTTTGTTACTGAATGAGGTCAGGTGTTTCATTAGGTCAGAGTCATTTAATTATCAAGGACAGCTGGGCCCAATTTTGAACCATATAAATATTGACATTCCTCAGGATCGAACTGGCGACCTTCTGATTGCTAAGGGAGCACTGTAACCACTCGCCTACCCAGTCATCTCAATTCATTACATTACTCCATGGATATGGTGAGTTTAAAAAATGAACTAAAATGTTAAGGTGTAAGAAGTTGCAGGTTCTACTATCCGGAATGTTGATTTGCTACATGTAGTGAACAAGTGAAACTGCTTTGATTATATTTTACATGATTCAACTTTGAAATAACTATAGATTAGTAACTTACTGATGTGTTTTGCTGAGAAGATGAGAGTTGAAGTCGTACACGTTGCAGCATTGCTCTCCGCAGATATTGCATTTCCACGGGTTAGAGTCGGAATGACAACCTTTGTGTAGAAAGTACAAAGTTTGGTCGGGAAATCCAATCCCGCAGAAGACACACTGTAGGGAAGCATTCCGTCCAAGAGTGGGAGACCTCCAGATGTTAGAGTCAGGAGAAGCTCCGTTGACATCGCCTCCTGAAGACGTTGGTCCCTCGGGTCTAGCTCGACCCATGGTGATGGCCGTCCCTCGTCTCTTGAGGTCGTCCCGTAAGAGTGACTTGAGTGGCGAAACTTTGATCAGAGTAGAAGTATAGCTAGAAGTGGCGGAATGTAGGCGAACTGGTTCTGAGACGTTTCTTTTCTCTTCATCCATTTCCTGTTTGATAGGGATAAGAGAGACGGAAGGTGTTACTTCCTGCTCGGCCCGCAGACTACTCGACGGAGCGTTGGAGTTGGAGTCGGCAGACTGAGGCGAGCCGGGGCAGTCGCCTGCAGTGCTGCCCTCCGCGCTGCCGTTCAACCTCACTAGCGGCTCAATAACTGACAAACAGCTGGAAGGTGTTTCCTCACGAGCCTATTAAAGAAACAATCAAAATTGAGAGAATTTAACTTTTTCATTTTCCATAAGATATTTTAAGGAATTTTTTGGACATGGTATTTTAAGGAACCATTCAACAAAAAATAAATAGTTATGGACTAAAAGAAGGACATTAAAATATGTCTTTAAAATCTAATAAAGTAAGACCTCAACAACTTGAACCTTGATATCTTGAATTTTTCATAATCCTGTTTAAACACTAGGAAATCACGATGTTAAGGTCATGCCACGCCGACATCCGCTGCGGGAGTACCGCACGCGGACGTTTTACCTCGAGCCATGTCACACCCATATATATATATATTAGGGATGGACGAGATTGGATTTTTAGTTCGAGACGAGACAAGACAAGATTTTTATTTCTCATAAAATTTCGAGACGAGATCGAGACGGGATTTCCCTTCTCATACACAACAGGAAATGCGCGTTCAAAATTTTTACCTGATTTTGTAACATTGTTAGATGACTGCTTAAATACAAAAATAATGATAATAGGCAAGAATATTTACAATATTTTATTAAAAAACATCAGCATAACATTTTTTTATTAATCACGCCTAACTTATTAAAAATGCCTACGATTTAGAAACATAGTGATATCAGTTAGGATAGAGTTCAACTTATCCTAAAATAAAATAAATCATAAAATAAAAGCAATATTAATTTTTATAAAATAGTTACTTGTTTTGACTTTTTATAGTAATAAAACATTCCTCACACTGCTTACACTTAACAAAACTTCTCAAATGTTATTAAAGTAATATTATTAAAATAATTAAAGTAATATTTACATTAAAAGAATTTATTAAATAAAAACGCCTTCGCAAAGGAAACGCAACTACAACACACTCCTGTATTGCGGTTATTGCATTGACTTTCTGCATGCGTTTAAAATTTTTTTTTTTTTAATTCTTGTCTCGATAAAAATCTCGGCCAAAAAGAAATCTCGTCTCGTGTAACGAGAATTATAATTTCCCGAAAATTTCCCGAAATTTCGAGACTTGACCATCCCTAATATATATATATATGAGTTACATATACTCATATACCCTTGAATATGGGCTTGTCGTGTTTCTAAGTCCAAAAGATCTCATAGAGGTTGTCAGCTTATCTGTTACGAGGAAAGTTTTAGACAGATCAATATTAAAATTACCAACAACTAAGATTTTTTGGTTAAAATTTACAAACATATCAAGGCATCTAGTCAGGTTCTCAAACAATAAATCCTGTTGATTAGTTGGGGGTCTATAACAGCAATGACGAGTATGATTTAATTTTCTAAATACAGTTTTCAAGCAGCTAATTCACACTCACCCTCCAAACAAAATTCAAGACACGTCTATTGTAGTGCTTCTTATTTTATTACAAATTTTCTAACAAAATACCGACACCATCTCTTTGCATTGATGATCGGCAGAAAGCAGCCACATTTGTATAACCATTGAGCTTAATCGTCTCAAACTCTATGTCTCTTATATTATGATCAGACAAATCACGTCATGCAATTCAATGAGTGTGTTTTACAGGAACACATAAAACATTTCTATTTTATCTGCAAGACCTCGTATATTTTGGTAAAGCAGTTTTATTTAAACAGACCACACTTGTACAAAAAATTACCTGTACAGTTTTTAGCCGAATGGCAAAAACCATATAATGTGAAGGAGTGTTAACTTAACTTGGTATTTTTTAAATGAAGCACACAAAATCATTTCTCAAAAAATGAAAAGGGCGATTTTCTTCCTAATCACCAAGATTTGTCACTAAACAAATTGTCAACAAAATTTGTTTTTTACTACTCATTAATACCAACTACACCAATACAAGTTGTGTTACTATTAGTTTATAGGTGTATAGAGTTGTTTACTTGTTCTAGTATTAACCTGTACTACGGTGGTTACCTGTGTCGGAGAGAACGGAGCTGCTGCAGGTGTGTCCGTCATGGATATCTCCACGTGAGGTGTGAGGAAGTGCATGGGTGGGGTGGCATTGTCAGCTGACCTGGCCCCCGTACTATCCCCACTGTCACTGCAGCCCCCCGCATTCACACTGCTCTCTACGGCCCCACCATTGGCACTGGGAGTCGGGCCAGGGTTGTCCAGGTCAATGCCGTGCCTACAACATACTGACTACGTTAGAACCCCACATATCTGACCATGACTGGAACGGCCCATGGTTGGAACTGTCAAAAACACTGCATGACTTGAACTCTCGTTTACACAGGTGTTTACACCTGTGACCGTGACAACGCCTGTGATCAGCCTTTCAGTGAATCCAACGGGCTCGGCGTTATCACCACAGTCAGAAAACAAGTAGACGGTCGGATATCCTGAGGTGTTGGTTTTGCTGAGGTTGGATATGAGAAGTTTGACTGTATTTGCAAACTTTATATAACTGGAACTGCCAAAAACACTGCATGACTTGAACTCTCGTTTCACAGGTTTTCTCTTCCTGTGACCGTGACAACACCTGTGATCAGCATTTCAGTGAATCCAACAGGCTCGGCGTTATCCTGCAGAGAATCTTATTGAATCTTGACATAAGAACATTGGAGTCTGGTTTGCAATTGAGTGAATAAATACTGAAGACATCAAATTTGATGGTAATGCTGATGGAATATAAGATAGGTAGGGGGTGCAAACAACTGTATGCCAATTAAAAATTACCTATTAAAAAAGTGGACTCGTAAACTCTTCATGGAGCCAGCTCGATAGCTGCACAGTGGACAACTCTTGATCATGTCATGCTGGCCGACGTGTTCGTTCTGGAAGTGCGCTCGCATTGCAATCTGCCGCTGAAACCCTCTGTTGCAGATCGGACAGTGGTAAGGCAGTGTCTTGGTGTGGGTAGTGAAATGTTCTGCGAGATGGTCCTTCCTGAAGAATCGCTTCTGACACACCCGGCACTCGTAGGGCTTCACCTAAAAGAGTTATTTTAATTAATAACCTTTGACCATCAAATCCCGTTATATAAACCATCCTAGATAACAAACCTCAATTTAAAACTGAACGAAAATAAAAATAAGTTTTGTACGTGATAGCTCAATTCATTTCATATTTCACTCAGGGTGGTTAAGTAACTACAGTATATCCCTCTTAACCGACCTCGCATTAACCGATAATCGGATTATGCGCCTTTGATGGTAAAATATTACAGTTTATTGTAACCGACTTTGCTTTAAAAGCAGTTAGGTTTAACATCCGCTTTCTAGGAATCTCGGCATTTCCGCTCCCACGCTCGGCGATGGGAACCATGATATGCTTATCTCCACAGGATGTGACAAAGAATAAGTTATTTTGTATTTATCCCAAAAATATTGCATATTGCCAGTTTGTCATCATCATTCGTAGCGTGAGCACATCTGTTCTGATTTGTTATCTGTGGGGCAAATTTATAAAATCGTAAGTGCGTTACGATTTTGATAAATGGCAAAAATGATAAATGGCAACTTGTAGGGTGGGCAGGACGACTCCATGTTCAGGATTGTTTTTGTGACTCGAGCCTCCAGTGAGAGGCTATAAATTAACAACCTGTCTCGTAACAAAATTGTTGCTTGTATCTACAATTCCAACAAAAGTTCTGAAGGTACTGTATTACAATAGATTTGGAAAGTCAATTAATATTAATTAATATTGCAGTACAGTACTAAGAATTGTTATTGACTCTTGCCTACAACTATACTTTATTCCACTGAAAGTATTTGAGTTAACCGTTTTGTGTTTATTTGTCCTTTTCTGTCAATACAATAAAAAGGAGATAAGTATAGTTTATTTTATAAATAATGCAAGTACAACTTCAAAATAATGATTATATAAATTCCACATTGTAACGTCTCACAATGTGTGAAATGTGAGATATAATGTTAAGTTATACAGAGCCACTATGTGTAAGTGTTATTTGGTCGCAGCACTCTTAAAATAAGGTGCCAGACAACTACCAAATATGCGTGCTTGTTTAGTGTTAAGCCGCAGCACCAGCGGTCAGCCGGGGCCTGACAAATGCTTTGTATGGAGTTAAATTGTTAGTGCCACTACTTGTACGTGTTATTTCGGTCGCAGCACTCTTTAAAAAAGGTGCCAGACAACTACCGAATGTGCGTGAGTGTTGAGTGTTAAAGCCGCAGCACCAGCGGTCTGCCGGGGCCTGACAAATGCTTTGTGTGTAGGCCTATTCTAATTTCTATCCTACTTACTTGTCTAATTCAAATTACCTTATTAATATTTCAAATGAGTACACAATTGGGACTGACCTTATTCCTTGTTTTTATTTTCTTTTACAAATACAAATTTGATTACTATTGATTATTGTTTTATTTGCGCCTGGCAAATGGTTTAAACCCGCAGCGCTGACTGTCAACTCGTGAAGTGTACTGAAGACTGGCCCGTGGACTGCTGTATTTATACCCGATTTGGTTGCTATGGAGACCATGGAATGTTCTAGAACTTTAAACCCAGATGTTTCCACCAAAAGTTATCTTCCTTTTCCGGCAGCCTGACGTCATCGCTGCCCGCTTGATCGTCGTTGATCCAACAGCTGCTGTCGGCTGGAGCTGGAGCTCGAGCTGTCAGAGAAGCTATTGTAGACTAATAAACAAACATTCAAACAAATGTAATAAATAAATATGTTTTAATTATTTAGTTAGTTGTTAAATTTACATGTTTATCCCTTTGAGTGTGAAATAAAATAGTAATGTACATTCATAACTGTTATTGTGTTGCTGAAATATTTACAATGGATAACCTAACCTAAATACGGTAAGTGGGTAAGCTAACCTAGGTACGGTAAGTTGGTAGAAATATTATTGGTTACCACTATTCACAAAATAAACTATTAGAAACATTATTACATTATTAATTTAAAGAACATTAAGAAATATTTTAACTATGAAAATGCGAAATAGGCCTAACTTTTATTACAATTGATCTAACAAAAACCTAACCTAGCCTAGGCATAACATAGCCTACAATGGTTAAATTAAATTGAAACATTACATTGTCCCCTAATTTGAAAAATAAAAATTAAATATTTACATATATACAAAAAATTATACAATACATAGTCTTTTTTTATTTTGAAAATTACTCCTCTATTTCCATATAATTTGGTCTTAAGTCCAAAATGTCTTCGTCATCATCTTCGTCAATTTTTATCAATTTATACTCATTGATTTGTGGCTCAAGCCAGTGCATTAAATTCACATTTAGAACCATTTCCGGAAAAGTGTTTGTTAGCACTCCATCATTTCTTCCTTTGAAATTTTGTATTCGTATTCCTTCTTCCTCTTCTTTCCTCATTTCTGGTTCTTCTTCTATTTCCTTTATTCTCCTCCTTTTCCATTTGCTCTTCTCCTCTTCTTCCTTTCTTTTCTTCTCTTCTCCTGTCTTCAGTTCTTCATTTTTCATATTTTCTTCTTCTAACATTCTCACTTCTGTCTGGGCTGTTTTTATCACTTCATTTTCAATGATTTCTGAAAATTGTTCCGATTCTAACTTCCATCCTAATGTTTCTTCTAATTGCTCCATACTTTGCCGTTCCAATATTTTCTCTTCTCTATCTTCTTCATCTATATGACTAATTTTGTTGATTTCTTCAGAAATTTCTTCTCTACTTAATAGATTGTCTTCCTTCTCATTCATACTTGGGGTGAAATCTTCTTTTTGTAATATATTGCACCTTATGCTTTGAATGGGATTATTGTTGAATTTAATGCTTTCTTTTCCTATAGTAGCATAGTTTTGATTTAAATTTATAACCATGTTCAGTTCTTTCATCGTATCGATTCCAATTATTATTTCCTTAATCAAGTTTGGTATAATCAAACATTGAATTTGTGTACTTACTGAGCCTATTTTTGCATTTATTAAGATAATACTCTTAACTCGCTGGGACTTCTGATTCACTGCTGTAGTTATTATAGTATTTGTTAATGGAAATTCTTCATATTTTCCTAAATTGTGTTTATTTTTTAAAAACCATTCCCTTTGCATACAAGTAACAGTGCTTCCAGTGTCTAATATACACACTGTACTTACTTTTTCAAAATTAATGTCAATTTCTGGTACATGATACATGTGTTTAGTTTCTTCAACATTATTGATGTTGTCATTTAGTAAGAATTCTTTGTCGACATAAATATTATTTATAGGCCTAATATTTTCTAATTCATTTTGCACTGAAAATTTAAGTGTCTTGTCCGGTGATGTCAAAATTTCCCTTAGGCCTGCATTATTTCCAGTGCTATCTAGTTTAAATATTTTTGTTTAGGTTCTTCTCGGTTACTATCTCCTGGTTTTTGATTGTGATCATAGCTGTTTCTATTTCCATAATTATTTTGGAAATGATCCCTCCTATTTTCATTTTTCTTTTCAAAATAGTGTCTGTCCCCTGATGGCCTGTGATTAAATGAACCTCGTTGATCCATGTTTCTTCCTGATGGTCTGTGACTGTATGAACTTCTTCGTTCTACATTCCTTTCTGCCTCGTTCCGTATAGATTCGTTAATTTCTATCGTATCTTCTCTACTTAATAGTTCCTCCATTTGATGTATTGAAACTATGTTTTGCACTCTGGAGGCCTGTTGAATTGTTTCGTCAAAATGTCGAACAAGGCGACGAACTATTTCCCTCTCTGTGAATTTTGGTGTCATATTTTGCAACAGTATTACTCTGTCGATGAAATACTCTGTTCTTGTCAGTCCCCTTCTTGGTATGTATTTTTCTAAGTCTAATTTAGTTTTAATCCCATCTTGAATCTCCTCATTCCAATATTTGTTCATAAAATATTTTTCAAAGTCTTCAATATCGTGTACTGAAGTCCTAACTAGATCCCACCATCGTGCTGCAGTTCCTTCCAAGCATATATCTAGGATTTCTTCTAAATTCAGTGATTGTTCATCCTGTGAAAGCCTTCGTTCATTTTCCCTGTTATAATAGTTTTTCAGCCTAGAAAGGAATTGATTTGGGTTTTTTGATTTTCCATTGAATTTTGGTAAGTCTTTAGCTATGGTGCTAGGACATGTGATATGTAGGCCTACTGGTTTCCCACTATTCCCAGCTTTTAACTTTGCCTCAAATTCCTTATTGATTCTTTCCTGATTCTCTTGAATCATTGCGATTCTTTCCTCAATATGGTTGTGTACTTCTTCCCTTAATTCTGTTATTTTTGTATCAAATTTGGATTCGATTTGTCTTATTTCGATGGTCAGATCCTTCCGAACTTTTTCTATTTCTTGTTTAGTTTGTTTAAATTGTGACAATACTTGTTCTTTAAACTCTTCAAGTGTCTGTAATATAGGCCTAATTATTGTTTGGTCCATGTTTGTGTGCTGTGTTCTACTGGGACTTGTTACGTTACTATGATTTAGATTGTCGCCAGACGCTAAATTTTGATTGTCGATACTGTATAAGTCATCTCCGGGATTGTCATTATTAGGACTTAATAATTCTTCCATATTGATTTCGTCTAATTGCCGGCTCATATTTAAGTGTGCTTCTTGTGCTCTAAGTGTAGGTGTTATGTATTTTCGTAAATTATATCTCTGCATCAAAATAATCTATAGCCGTGATAAAATCAAGCCACCTAGTTGGGCGCCAATTTGTAACGTCTCAATGACTTAAATCTGAATTTCATTTAATTGTATTTATTTTATTTTGTATTTTTATCAAAGTTTCTCAGGGATGGGTTCTTTGCCACGTGACTGATTTTATCCTAACTGCAGAATGTGTGAAATGTGAGATATAATGTTAAGTTATACAGAGCCACTATGTGTAAGTGTTATTTGGTCGCAGCACTCTTAAAATAAGGTGCCAGACAACTACCAAATATGCGTGCTTGTTTAGTGTTAAGCCGCAGCACCAGCGGTCAGCCGGGGCCTGACAAATGCTTTGTATGGAGTTAAATTGTTAGTGCCACTACTTGTACGTGTTATTTCGGTCGCAGCACTCTTTAAAAAAGGTGCCAGACAACTACCGAATGTGCGTGAGTGTTGAGTGTTAAAGCCGCAGCACCAGCGGTCTGCCGGGGCCTGACAAATGCTTTGTGTGTAGGCCTATTCTAATTTCTATCCTACTTACTTGTCTAATTCAAATTACCTTATTAATATTTCAAATGAGTACACAATTGGGACTGACCTTATTCCTTGTTTTTATTTTCTTTTACAAATACAAATTTGATTACTATTGATTATTGTTTTATTTGCGCCTGGCAAATGGTTTAAACCCGCAGCGCTGACTGTCAACTCGTGAAGTGTACTGAAGACTGGCCCGTGGACTGCTGTATTTATACCCGATTTGGTTGCTATGGAGACCATGGAATGTTCTAGAACTTTAAACCCAGATGTTTCCACCAAAAGTTATCTTCCTTTTCCGGCAGCCTGACGTCATCGCTGCCCGCTTGATCGTCGTTGATCCAACAGCTGCTGTCGGCTGGAGCTGGAGCTCGAGCTGTCAGAGAAGCTATTGTAGACTAATAAACAAACATTCAAACAAATGTAATAAATAAATATGTTTTAATTATTTAGTTAGTTGTTAAATTTACATGTTTATCCCTTTGAGTGTGAAATAAAATAGTAATGTACATTCATAACTGTTATTGTGTTGCTGAAATATTTACAATGGATAACCTAACCTAAATACGGTAAGTGGGTAAGCTAACCTAGGTACGGTAAGTTGGTAGAAATATTATTGGTTACCACTATTCACAAAATAAACTATTAGAAACATTATTACATTATTAATTTAAAGAACATTAAGAAATATTTTAACTATGAAAATGCGAAATAGGCCTAACTTTTATTACAATTGATCTAACAAAAACCTAACCTAGCCTAGGCATAACATAGCCTACAATGGTTAAATTAAATTGAAACATTACAACATGAATAGCAATTCATTATGTTATGTTTTTAGGGATTGCCCGTTTTAACCAACTTTTTGAGTTATCCGACTTAGGTCCAACCCCATTAGGGCCAGTTAAGAGTGGGTCTACTGTATCTATGACTGTAAAGCTCATCAAATATTTAGATAAGACAATTTTGAAGTTTGAGAACCTAGCTTATTTATTGTCCTTTTAAACGGTCCTAGCTATAGAAAATGCTAATCTTAGGAACTGTATAGCTTCTTGATTAGGATTTTAAGGGCCATATTGTAAAAACAGGTAAACATATACAAGAAGGATGTATACAAAAATAAAATGAAAGCTCAATAGAGCAATGGGGGAATTGCGGCACCATCTTCAAAATGAATGCTTCGAATTTTTCGTCTAGTTCCCCGTAGCCTAAGCGAAACTGCTCGAATGATGGAAAGCTGGCTTTGGATCCTCAACCATCCGATAATTTGGGAGTATGGTTTTCTCCATTTTACAGCCAGAGCTTAGCTTGTTCTCCTCTGAAACGCTTCATATTCTTTGTGAGGGACTCCTTCCGTGGAACATATTAATGGTGTGAAGCTTCCTCTGATGTCTTCGGCTGCTTTGTCATATTTATTGTGTTATTGAATATACAAGAAGGATGTACAGTAAATAACAATAAACAACGTTGTTAGATCTGTATATAAATGCTGAATCTCATAAGGTCTCCTTTATGGATTCCAGACAAACCGTTGGTTCTAGAATGATGAAATAAAGTTATTTTATTTAAAATTACCGTCTTGTAAATATTTACAGTGCGAATGGTGTTGGGAAACCTATTTTATTTTATCATAGGCTAATATTATATTCCTATCATTAATTTAGCGGCATAGGTGACCCCACTCCTTTCCTATATACATATTCTGCCTATAAAATGCATACTTAAAGTTTCTCACTGTCCTTATAAAGTTGTTAATTGATTACCCCTGTGTGTCGCATCTTATGACGCCGCATGTTGGCGCCGTTGGAGAACTTCATATTGCAAACATCACACTCAAACATCTTGCGGCTACGATGGTCGCCGTCGGCCGTGCCTTGACACTGTGACATGTGAGTCATCAATGCTCCGTGACTCAGGGTCTCGTAGTTTTCACACTTCTCACATCTGTGAACCTGTCAACATACAACGTCTTATTAGTGAAGAAAATCCAGTCGGTGTGCTTCATCTGTAAGTATGAAGATGGAGTTTCCTAGCACTACATTGTATAATGTGGTGGTTAATACGGAGAGGACAAGGTTTGGGGAAATTTGGTTAAATGTACAGTATGCTATAGCATAACACATCTACCCTAGCCATAATGTTCTACCACTGCACCTAAACAATAGAAAAACGTAAATTAATCAAAAAATTGTACAATAAAATCGTCATACGGGATTCCCCTAGTCTACATTAATTTTGTAAGTCTAAAATTCTACTAAAGTTCTATTACTGCATAACATGTTTTGTAATACTTTGATGAAATTGTGTTCTAAAATACGTTCAATGCAACTAAATAACATTCTATTGTTAAATCAGTGAAACATCTGGCTCGACCATGTTGCGCATTCCTCATCACAGAACAAGTGTTTATAATAAATCATTTGTAGTCTTAGCATACCGCCTATGGAATTCCATAGTCGATGCCATTAAATCCATAGAAAACCGATCCCGACTGAAAGCGAACCTGAAAGAATATTGGTCGTCGCGTGGCGGGATGGCGTGCATTAGGCCTAGGTGCAGCAAAGAGTGTATTGGTGTGTGACTGTATGCTATGTTAGGGAAAAAGAAGAAATGTATGTTTTATGTTACAAAGTTTGTAATTTACTTTTGTTCATGACATGTTGTAGGCTATCATTATTAATACTATTATTATTAATATTATATAGTGGTTAACTGTAAGACAGGACCTCATAGTTGCCCCAATAAAGAAGCATTTTCATTTAATTTAATTCCATTTCATTTCATATATCTCAGTATCAAAGGAACTCCTTAATACAAAGTAAATTATACTTTTTAAATTTGAATTCATGTTTTACACCTTGTAACAGTGGCTCCTACTTTTAACTAATTTCTAAAAGTAATTAGAAATGTAAAAATGCCTTTGCATCTTACACTTTTTTTAACTGTGGTTAACACTCTTTATTAGTACATAGGTGAATTAAGAGGGACTAGAAATGTAAAAACTCCTATCTGTTGTTCCTAATTAAATAAAACAATACATCAGTTAACAACTGAGTAACTTTTGACCTTAGAACACTTTATTTAACTACATTTTAAACCAATGAGAAAACTACCTTACTATGCAATTTTAATTCAATCTATTAAATATTCAAATCCCTGTACAGATTAAAAAATAACAGTTCAAACCTTTCTAGTCAGTAGGCCTATTTTGGGTTTCAACCATATCACAAGTCAGTTACAAAATGCAAAAGAGTGAAAACTAAATTTTACAACTCGGTTTCAAATTGCAAAAATAGTTGAAGAGTCAATACACATCACATGGTAAAGTGTTAACATAAAGCAGATATACAGACACTTGTTATCTCTGTTGAGCTGGTCAGCTGTTGTATCATCAACTCTGACACTGTTATCAGTTCAAGGTCGCTGTCTGACTGAAGCTCTCAAACAGACTATTTACCAAGCAAACACACAGTGGAGTTTACTTTAAGTTCAAACGCAGTATGAAATATCTCCTGTGACCATCCACTTACAGTATACAATTCGCATTTTGTTCTTCAATAAAATGTATTGTTAAAATATAGCAGTTGTTAAATGTCATAACCTTAGGTAGTGATGCTTTGTGAATGATTTATATGGTGAACTAGTATTCAAATAAATTTTGTTGAGCCATATTGTTCACTATTTCGTTAAGGATTAATTGGATTTACTGATAAAAGTTACTCTGCAATCCTCGAGAATTTTTAACAATTGCATAATTATTGTCCCTGCACAGGCGCAAGACCTATGTGGAGTAAATAAAAGGTTTAAACATTAAAAGCAAATAGGCTATTGAAACTTTATCATAAGTAAAATTTACCGTTGCTTATTACGGTGTAACAAAGAATCAAAAGGTTAAGTAAGTAAAAATAACCAAACATCTAGGCCCATATATAAAAGAGAAATGAGAAGCACACATATATTAAACAAGCCAAGGCACGTCGGTATAGAATGGAGTGAGTTATACCACTGTTTAGAGGTGGCTGTGGTTTACGGTATAGGCCTACGTAGCTTCTCTTCTGGCTATAATATGAGTGAAGTGTAGAATTTTGTGAGATGATCTTTAAACCTTTTAGCGAATTTCCCATATAGGGAATAAGCTATTACCGTAGTACTCATGGTAAGACCTGGATGCGGGACCGATTTTTTTTCGTTTTGAGGTCCTTAGAGGTCAAAAACATTATCCGTTCAAATTTATATATATATGTACCCGCGGGCTTTGCCCCGTTTAACTTCTTAATTTTCAAGATGAGCTCGTTCGCATGGCTAAATCACGTCCTGGTTGAAGTTAGTTCACTACGCTCACACACCTTTTATTAGGTTGGAGCTCCTTCGCTGCGCTCACTTGCCTTCAGGTTAGCTCGTTCGCTACGCTAACTCGCCTCCAGGTTGAAGTTCGTTCGCTACGCTCACTCACCTTTTGGTTGCAAATTAGCTGTTGTCATAAATATAAAAAAATAATAGTGCTGCACTCTGTTTGCAATCCTTGTAACTTTAATGCTATTGAACATCATAGAACAGAACCAACTTGTTTAATTGAAACAGCTGATAAGATTCATTAATTCCTTTTAAATATGAAAAATCATAAGGTTAACATGGGAAACTCCAGAGCCACTGGGGCGGAGCCCGAGAGTCCGATCAGAATAAAAACAACTTAGTTTTCCTATTTAATGCCCAAAGAATCCGTGTACCAAATTTCAGCCTCCTAGGTAAATGGGAAGTGGGAGAATTAGTGATGAGTGAGTGAGTGAGTGTGTCAGTGAGGGCTTTGCCTTTTATAAATATATAGATAGATATGTTTACTTTGATTAAAAAGGGCCCTTTAATTACGGTTTGTGCCATTGTTTATACAAAAGTATTTTTCAAGGAAGTTTCTCATCAAGCTCATTCATTCAAGAAAGCGGATGATAGGTGGGGGCTTGGTTTGGTCTTCTTATCAGTTTTAAGTTATATAGACTAGGTGTTCCCCGTCGACTTCACCTAACATAGTTTTATGTTTCATTACTACTATACCCACTGAAGTTGTTTGCGACGGGCTAAAAGACTTTTTGTATTAATTTAGATTATTATTATTAGAAGTTTTTGAAGAGACTGTAGGAAAAGGACGCAACACATCATTGTGAGGACAGAGAAATGTGAGCAAAAATGTAAACAAATCATCTGATCAGCTGTTATGATCTTGTCTTGGTCAGAATCTCTATTGGGAATTGGCCAAGTACACAGGTTTGCCCCTGCGGCAGTTGCCCCCCCCCCCCCCTCTTTGCAAAAGAGGTTCTCATTGGTTTCTGACCAGGACCCCCGAGACACTAGTCATAGTTACTTTGCAACCCATAAGGCCAATGTTAAATTTTAAAAATTTCAAATGAGTTGTGTAGCAAAATGCAAATTTTCCTAAGGTAGTGACTGTCACCAATCACGTTTTTAGGGTTATTAGCCTGTAATTCCAAAATTTAATCAAAATCCTCCTGCTGGATTTCGAGATATACTGTACGGCCTATATTACAGACATAAAAACAGACATAGCTTGTATTAGAGTAGGCTATAAGATAGAGATACGATCATAGAAAATATAAATAAATAAATAAAATACTAAACACATTAAAAACAGTTTGGCCTAATCTAAGATGAACAGTACACTACCACCAGCTTCATAAAACTCATCAATATGGTAATTTACAGAAAATAGATTTCAATTGACCAAACTACAATTACTGTAATTTTGTTTTTATTTCTTGAAGTTGATAGTGTTCGAGCATTACCAAGCATTAAGCTTAACAAAACTAAACTTAAATTTTACTAACAAGAGCCAGCTACCTTAAACATTTGTAGGTACATAGAAAAGAAGAAATGGTTCATAAGGTATCCTGCATTTAGTCAAAAGAAAAATTAATGCTTACAGGAATAGTGCCATCACAAGAGTCGTAGTTGGTGTTGAGGCTTCCGTCGCCATCTCCGTCCCCATTCTCTTCTCCGTTACTATTGGCTCCATTGTCCAGCGGCATGGAGTCCACTTCAACATCAGCTGTGTGAGGATTCTCCATCACACAACCTAGCTCCGCCATCTTTCTTTATGGTTTCAGTTGTTAACTCCTGTAAAGTAGGCAGGCCTACAATTAGTCTTCAGCTCAACCCTTTGTGTTTCATTTGTTGATTGAACTGACAAAATTTCTCTTACCAGAAAGAATTAATAACAAGGCTTATTGATTAAAAGCGGAAAGCCTTTTCTTTTAAGACAAATGACGGGAAGCAGGCTTCGAGTCAGTATTTCCTCATCTTAGATTATGCTATGCCTACCTACTACTATATTTTTGTATAAATAGCCTAGATTAAATTCTTATTGACCTACTTTGAAAAATGTTTAATACCTAGACTCACAAGGAAATCTTAGTAGCCTACTTGTTAGAACCCGGACCCCAGCTTTAACATTCTAAAATTACTTTTGTGGAACTATTTGCAACCGTTTTCCGGTAGATGTTTAACAGTTAAAAACGTAATAGGTACTTGATTGCGGGATACACAGTGGATTGTCGCGGAATTTTCAGGGTGAGTGAGATTGATTCTATTAGTTTTTGTGATACAGTGACTTGTAGCATTGCTATTGTTTTTTAGTGATGTCATGGTGGACCATACCGATTGGTTTGTGGTGTCTTTCTTTGAGAGCTCTTTGTTAATAACTTTCTTCTTGCCAGTTCAGTTAGGTGGTATAACAATGGCTGACGTAGGGCAGAGAAATTAGTTTTAGCTGGACAAAGAGTCTCATGTTTCGTTGTCGTTGCCGGGCTGCAATTGGCAAAGAGAGGAAGATACTATACCGGACAATACCTATAAGGTTTCTGTGCAGGCTTTTTCTATTTTAGAGAACCATTGGTCCAGGTTTAGAGAACTTTTTAAGGAAACCTCCGTGCAGTCAACTAAAATAGTGGCATTTCTGAGCGGGCATTACCGGCTCGTTCACCTTTTGTCAGTGTTTGTCATGAAAATGTTTTTATATTGACAAGATTGTGTCAAGTATAAGTTAGTTTGAGTCAAACTGAAACAAACATTTACTATGCTTTAAACTACAGGGATCCACCTTACTCTATTTTCATTTAGTCCTGTAGTGTGTTGAATAACCATAATTTAATAACACTGAATTTAAAATTGTCCAAGACAATTTAAGAGGTTTTAAGCATGTTGGATTTGTTGTTTTCCTTAAAAAAAAAAAAAACATTTAAGTTACCATGAAAATATCAATTATTGACCTTTCAATAATTGCAACCTTTAACTTAAAAATCTAAGAGACCTCCCGTGTTATCCGAGATTCTCAGTACCGGTAACCGAGGTGAGTGTACTGTATCCGGCAGTACCATCGTGGATTGGTAGCGTTCTCCCGAGAGGTTTTCATCAACCACATGGTGACAATTCTGCAGAAATTGGAAGTTTGGCAGTTGATGCAAAGTACAATCGCAGGCAAGCTATCTAGGGACAGTGAATATTTGGTGCCACTGACATGACCACAAAGAAGGCCTTCCTTATTTCTGTGGAATCGAGGGACTCTATGACATTGATATGAGAGTGAATCGTGGTACAACCATCGTCAGTGACTGCTGGAACACATATTTATGATAACCCAACCTAACATAACCGCCCCAGCACGCTGTACCTACTTGGCGAGTACATGTGGCATCTAGCAGCGGCGACGCAGCATTCAACAATCCTCGCCGACTTCGCTGCCTCCTGGGAGGCAGAACTCGAAGACCGCTAATTGTAATCTTGTCAAATTTGTACAGTAAGGCAATTAGGCTATAGTATGTTCTTTTTATTTTTAGTCAGCGGTAAAAATAATCCCTCAAAAATATGTTGCCTCCGGATAATACCAAAGTACCAAGTTAGGTTAATTAGGTTATTTAAGATCTGGAAGACTTTTATGGCCCATATCACATTTCCCTCTAACTTAATATCAACTTGTACACACTTAGGCTATTAACTTGCACAATTTCAAATTTTAGGAAGTGTGTTTAGGTCTGTGGGGTAAATTTTTGCCACAGGCTAAAGTATAATTAAGTACCTAAGTTATACATTAACATCCAAAGGCCTAAAACTTATTGCATTTTGAGATTTTTTATCTTAGATGGACTAGGGTACGGCCAACATTTATTAAGTCTAGGTTGATTTGGATTTACAATATTTTAGCACCTACTCATGGCAAAAGGGGAGAGTTCTCAATAATAGTCTGCCAAATGACTTGAAAGGATTATGACATGAAAATAGGGTTTTACAGGTTAAATCCAGCAGACCAAGCAGAACTTGGGCTCAAGAATGTAATAAAATACAAGCCATGAATGAATACAGAGTTTAAGTATTCAATCTAAAATATTTTAACAGAACAATGCAAAATCAGGTCAGGACAAGTCAAAATCATTAGATAGGAGTTGCTAACTGGGCTACCCTTACCCTAGTTTCGTGTCCTGAAAAAATGCTAGCCCTAATTATTACTAAATGACATTCCACTAACACTATTCTCGAGAGATGTATTACTCACATAATAACATGGAAAAAGTACGTAGAAAACCTAAAATACAAGAAAACGAAAACAATTTAGGCAAGTTTTTCTACAAACATTCCTTTACCAAACACGCAAACATTCATTCATTTCGTTTCACTACACAGTCCACACAACACACAACCTGGGCTGGGAACCTATCAACCAGAGCCAGCCGACAGCCATATTCATGAATTCATGTCATGTTGTTGATTTTAAAACAAAGGCGTTTACACTAAAATTTAGTGTATTTAATAATGAACAAAGGTATACACAATATTTTATACTATTATTAGTTGCGTATGAGGGTATGAGGACAGATAAAACAAAATAGAGTTTAGCAAACATAGTAACATAGACTACGCAAATAAGCCCAAGCTAGGGATTATATTTTATCTATAATAGTAATCATAGAAATATGCTCCTATTCAAGATCAGTAATGTATACTGAAGTTTGAAGGGGATACGTGGTTATCAGAATCAGACTAACCAACACAAGTACGAATGTTTTCCACGTATGTTTAACACACCTAAGAAAGTGCGTTTTATAAGTATGTTTTATCTATCGTTTTATCATGAAGAATTAATATGCCTAGGTGACCTTCATTAATCTCAGTAAGGCGTTTGACTGTGTCAACCGATGTCCTGCTCCGTAAGTTGGCATTTTAATGCTTGAAAACTGCTGAAGACCTAGCTAGCAACCGAAGACAGATGGTTTGTAGTAAAGTAAAGGTTGGTGGTCCTAGGTTGCCTTAAGCAACTGTGGGGTACCACCAGAAGGCTTCAGTCTTGGGCTTTCTGCTCTTCGGAATCTGTCCCAATCTTAAATAATTGATATAATTCATATCAAATGACCTTCCATATCCCGTCTCAAATGTAACACATGCCATACCTTTATGCTAGGGTAATAACACAACTTTTTCTTACACAAAGCAGAAATTTAGAACCAAATTTAGCGTTAAATGCAAAAACTTCAGTAAACGTAGCGGCAGAATGGTTTTCTGTGAATATTTTGTTTAACAATGAGACACCCCATACAGTGGTCTTTTAAAGCATTTGGACTTCGTCTAATTCCTGAAGTACGATCAGGTTAAAAACGACTGTTTTTACTGCATTATAACAAAAACCATATAATATGAACCGTTGATGACTCCGCTCAATTTTATGGATGCCTCTGCGAACGCCACCTAGTTTATTTATTTCATACGGAAACACCATTATTACAATAATATACATTGGCAGATTGCACTGTTTTGCAAGACAATATAATAGCAATAACAAAATGATTGGAAAAAATATCATTATACAATAATAACAAGAATAGTAACAACAAACATAACGAGAATCAACAAGAACAAGAACAATGAGGTGAAAGTTTAACTAGGTACTTATGCAGATGCAAGAATTGATTTTGGCAACAGATTAATTTGACATGGTAATATGCAATAACAATAATATAGTGCAATAACAACAACTTGCACCCATCGATCTTTATCGATGCTTGCACCACGTAGCTCTGTTTAAGACCTAGACGGTACCAACTCACTATATTTGGGCTATACAATAGTAAATAATACTTTAATTTGTCATATTTTTAATGATATATAAATAATTTTTCTTATACATGGACTGTTATATTTGATACTTTAGCTTTCTTACTTAAAATACCCTGTTTCCTTGTTGCCTCTCTTGTTTGATTGTTTTCCCCACAATCCTCTACGTTCCCCTTTATTTAGTTTATTGTTCATTTCGTTTGGTACCTTGAACTACGTCCCGTCGTTCCGTTCCATATTGAGTTTATGAGTGTTGTCTACTTCTACTGTCTAATGTCTGCTAACTGACGATGTTTCTCTTTAATATTAAGAAATTGTGAACTCAATAGTCCGAATTTGAGTACATTTGCTAATTGCTAAAGCAGTTTTGTGCTAAAACTAACTTCATAGTGTGATCAACAACTATCCATCAATAAAGATGAATTTTTCGGAATACTCAAGGTAACTTGCCAAAGGTTTGTCTGTTATTGATATTTATAGTCACTTCGGTAGTTCTAAGAAAACAATGCATATTTAACATGTTTTATGTGCTACAATAGTACATTTTATTCTTAATTTCACTTATGTGTAACTTATTCGTTTGTCGGAAGCCTAGTTGGTTCAAACCAAGTAATTTTATTTCAAATGAACAAGTGGATCAGCCTTACTTCAATTAAATGGAACAGCCATTTTGAATAGGTTAGGGTTTAGGGTATTATTTCGGTTCGTTCAATAAAACATATCTTAAACTTAGACCTTTTCAATAAAAATGTAAATTTTTAGTTGGGCTTTAAAATCCTGCAGTTTAATTGTAATATAAGTAGGCTTACCCTCACCTGGGATTAACTCATATTTTACAATCCAGTATTTCATTTCCCTCCATGATGATGCCAAACAAATATTTAACAAGGCCCGGAAAGTATCCTTGATATCACTGTAAGTTAAGTATTAACTTAGAATGAGTACTTAGGTAATTAGGCTATCAGCCTATATTTTATTTAAATAAATTATTATTCTTACAACCTATATTTGGCTGCACTTTAGGTCCTACACTCGTTCGAATGAAAATATCGATCGATATATCGATTAATCGATTGTTTCTCTTGATATAACGTTTGGTTAGATAGGTAAGGTTAACCTAACCTAACTAACCAAACGATATATCGAATGAAACAATCGAACAAACGATATTTTCATTCGAATGAGTGTAGGACCTAAAGTAAAGTGCAGCCCTATATTTTATACTTAGGGGTAGATGAACAATCAAGTTCCAAAAAAGTAGTCCTAGGGCCATGTTATTTATTTAAATTATATGATTCATAACAAATTTTTCTGTAAGTATTCCGTATAGGCCTAGGTGCTTCCAAACAAATTTTTAATTTTGATACCTATCTTTTTTATAGTTTTTTACCTCCTGAATCCATTTAAAAACATTTAGCCTACCATTATTTTTCACCGCCGATGAATATTTCTCACCGCCGATGAATATTTCTCAAGATATTGCTGTAAAAATATTGGGTAAAAAAAAACCGGCTGGGTAGCTGAGTGGTTATAGTGCTCGCCTACTAATCAAAAGGTCGCCAGTTCGATCCTGAGAAAAGTCAGTAGCTTTTTGATGGTTCGAAACTGGACCCAGCTGTTCCTGATCATTGGGCTCTAAATAAATGATCCTGGCTAATGAAACAGCTGATCTTAGTCAGTAACAAAGCTACACAGATCATCTCACACCATTCTACACTCATCCTTCACTCATATTTGGGTTAAAATACGCACCTAAGTGGCGTCCCCATCTTAATGATTGATAATTGATAATTGATAAAAGGGTACAACATTACAATAAACAAGGTAGGATGGTTAACAATTACAAGTGGAATGAACTGTGGGTTAACTAAGCCTAAAGCTGACTGTTATCAACCACAGGACAAGCAACTGTAAGTAACAACTTTTGAACTGTCATCGGCAATATGCCTAGTGACATCATTTTACTTCACTACAACTAAAACACAAAACAAATATACTCATACTCATAAGTGCTGCGTAGTGCTAGTCTGCAACGCCGTCACAAGTTAAGGTTAAGTGAAGAGAGTAACTTAAATGGTTGATGAGAAGAATAGGCCTAACATCGTTGATTAAACATGATTAGGTAACATCGTTGTAGAAACATTTCAAGTGATTCTATAGTCAATAGCCTAATGTTTTCTATAATAGGAATTTCGTCACATTATTATGGAGATATAGATGGACTGTGGGACTAATTACATGTAGTTCTTTATTCAGGCATGTCAGGGTGGTAGGTCGTGCTTTATGTGAATTGGTGACTGCATTAAGGGTCCGCTCTACCTCTGCCGTTTTGTGCAAACGCAAGGGGCTGGTGCAACTGAGTTACCGAAGGCTACATTTAACGTAGAATCAAAATAAGGGTGTCATTTTGAAGATGATAAAATTATCTAAATTATTGTAGTTTCAATATGTTAACTATTGTACCACGAAGCCTGAAAATATTCTTTTGAATTTTTACGAAAAATGGCAATTTTAAACTGCTGTAACTTATTATAGAATCGTTACTTTAAAAATGTGAAACTAGAATCACTTAGATTGTTCTTTGTTCTTTAAAACACCGTTTGTTGTTTTTCACTAGCATGTATGGGTAGCTTACAAAGTCAGTGAACCTCTAGAACCTCTGCAACTAGCAAATTTGAAGCCGTAACGTACCGAACCTTGCGGCCGCGAGTGGAACTACACGCGTACAGCCCCTCCACGGTCATATTGCTTCCCCTCCTCCAATTCTCAGCTCTCAGCTGAGAAAGCTTTCTGCACTGACTATATAATACCGTACTTCTGCTGTACCCACAACACACACAACTATTTGGGCTCATCGATGTTTTTGCTACACTAAATTGGCTACACTGTTGTTAAATAAACATTTCAGTTTAATGAACGAATCTTTTTTATACATATACTAGCAGAATACCCGCCCGTTGTTAAATAAACATGTCAGTTTATTGAACGAATCCTTTTTACATAGATACTAGCAGAATACCCGCCCTTTATACGGGGTTGGTGTACGTTTTCAATGGGGGAGGACACGGTTTTAGAATTTTTTTGTTCCTTTGGCATGCTATAGTTACCACATCTACCATAGCAAAAATGGTCTATCACCATATGGAGCTCATCATACAAAATTTAAGACCAACCCGACCAGTAGGTAATGCCTTCCTTCTGGCTATTGATGGCGGGTTTGCCTGTCAGGGATTAGATAGGTCCTGAGTATTGCTTGCACTAAATGCGTCGGGGCGCTCTACCATGGTCCTCTAGGTCCCGACCAAGGGGAACCCAGGTGGAGTGACGCTTAAACAAGTAGCCGGGAACCCTGGTTAGGATTGAGGGGCAACCCTCTTTCCGAAGGGTCTGCTTCGGCAGCCGGTGAGCCTGATGACCTTAAGTCATCCGCCCATGATGTGCAAAAGGTTGATGCGTAAGCTTCGGCCTACATCATGGGGCCCGGGTAAGTCTCACGATAGGTACCGGGTATGTAGTCAGGGGGCTTCGGCTCTCATGACAAATATTGAAATGAAATGAAGTAGGTAATGCGTGATGAACTTCAAACAAACAAACAAACGCACAAAATTTCACATTTATAATATTTGTAAGATAATAATCTAGTTTGTATGAGAAAGTAGATTAAGATGAACTATGAACGTACCACAACACGTATAATGGTTCTAATGCTGTACCGGTAACGATTCGCTCAAAACTAAAACTAAATTGATAATAAGATGAAAAGTATTTTATTTATATCATTATAATTGTTTGTATAGAGTATAGCAATAAGTATGACTGACTAGGCCGATGGTTTGCTACCTATGACAGTACTTTACAACTCAGGATGGCTAGTGTAGTCCACCACTCTAGAGCGGTGGAGGTTGATGATCAGCTGTAGTGAGACTGGGGTGGAACACCCCCGCAGGCAACATTGGACGCGCCCACGAAGGCCGCGCGATAGGGCTTTCTCGCTTTCTGCTATACTAGCATCCATCACCAGCACACGTGCACAGTCTCATTCTGCTATAATATCGTTTGTAATACTGTATTCTGTTATAGTATTGTAAGTTCTATTATCTAGAAAAGACAGGTGCATTCGTACTGCAAGTTCCTTTGTATAGTTATTTATTTGAAATGCCTCATCCTCGAAAAAAAAAGGTCGCTCAGTTTCCGTCAAATGTAAAAGGCAAACTGGAAAAAACCTTGGACATTGGGCAATAAAGAAAGGCGCCAGAAAATTGTGGTAAGTAAGCATTATTTTTTTGTTAATTTTTAACTTGCATAAATAGGCATTAGTAACGTTTAATTAATATGGTAATGGAATAGCTAGCTATTTACATTGAGCTATTTTATACTTCATATAAATGAAACCTTGTTGTATTGTTTGAAAATCTAGTACTGTGTTTTACTATTGCAGATATTATCATTTTCTCAATAATTATAATACAACTGTGTATAAATCAGAACAGCTATCTTACACGTATAAAGACAAATTTTATAGCAGCCTACAGTAGAAAGAGTAATCTTCAATTGAGAAAGTGTATAGGCCTAGTCAACAATATCACCTTCCAATGTTCCAACTCCATCGCATACCTGCCTCTTCCATAATCAATATCACCACAATACAATTACTCATACTATACACAATTTCCAGTAGGTCTGAATTGAAACTCCCTAAAATAAAACGAAAACATCCAAAAAAATTCACAGTACCCCTAATTATAACGTTGTGTCGTGAAATCATTAACCGAATCGTCCACACGTATCATTTATATCAATTTCACTGCATCAATTGCTAAATAAATAAGTGTAAACAAAGAAAAGTAAGAACTACAACACAAGGTTTGTTTTGGTAAACAGCTGAGTCAAAAATAAAATAATATTCATTTGAACAAAAGAACTGGTCACATGTTGAAGGAATTTAAAACGTAAAACACGCTAGTAAAGCTAGTGACGTAATTAATTGTCTATGTTTATTATCCATTCCGTTAGCAGTTCTAATATCCTTAATAATCAAACCACCCTCATTGAATCAATTCCCGTATTCCGTACACCGTAATTCCCCATATTCATTTATTTAAACCATAAAATATTCAGCTCCTCCAAACGTAACCACAACTAAACACACGCCAAACAACTTTTTAGATTTATAAAAGGATGGTTAGTCTAATTGCAGTATCCTAGGTCAATGATGACGTTGTGCTCAATCTATGTCATTCTTCTGTTATATCTTTGGATAAAACCCGTCTGGGTTGTGGTGGTAATTTAAAATTGTATTCCTGAGGATTCTTGATCTCCTTCTTTATGACATCAATATTTCCGGGCCTAATCCAAACAAAGTTTAATCATTCAAAAACATTGATTGTAAACAAACCAAGATGAATTAAAATGTGTAAAAAAATGGATTTTCCTATCCTTTCTTAAAAAAGTTGAGCAGTATAATAATTTGCATATCCTTTTTTTATGACTCGTGTACAGAGCCTCGACTTGTATACATTGATGGTGTTACTTTTCTTGGTGGTCTACTAATCTTACTTATTTCCTAAAAATCAATGACGAATCAGAGTAAATAAAATAACCTCATAGTTCTACAGAGAATTTTTATATTAAACCAGCTGTTCGTTAAAAGAAAATTATATTGCACTAAAACAAACCGAAGATTACAAAGATTTATTTTTTAAAAACTTTGAACATCCTAGTATTTTACCTATGTATATTTAAATAATCTGTCATCCTCTTATCGAAGGATTGCACGTATCAATGATTAGCATTACACATAGTATAAAAAAGTCACCCCTTAGTAAGTCTTTTAATTTGATCCAAATGCTGAATTTGTGTTACGAACACTGAATGTTTACAGCTGTTATGTTAAACAAATTATAATACACCAAAAGCTAGTTTAGAATCGTAGCGTCGGCTGCTAGACTTTTTAAAAATTTAAACTTAATTTCTAAATAACTGGGACTCTAAACTAAAATTATGGCTTCGACATTCCCTAGTTCTCAAAATTATCTTTCTTTCAACACAAAAATCATGAAAATCCGTCTGGTGGTTGATTCAGAATCGTGAAATAAAAAAAACACTGTTTCGTTTTAATATTATAGATAACAATTTACAATTCATTGTTGTGGTATACCTGCTTTAAAATACTAATAATTGAGTCGTGTATTTCATTTAACTAAATCAAATTTTGGGTGTGATTTGCAATACTGTACCAGAATTTTGCTACATCATCTGTATTTTGTTTTACAGGTCAAATGTCCTGCATCAGCTAAAGACCTGACGCCAGCTGATGCAGTTGTTGAAAAGAAAATTAAGTTTTGTGTGCTGGATGAAGAGAGGAATCTAAAATTAAAACGGAGCCATTGATAGTACTACCAAATCCAGGGACAGCTCCACATAACACAACAAAAAAATTGTTGGTTTTTGGTGTGGACTAACAAAGGCATGTCCATAGAGAAAATCCTGAGGGACGACCAGTTTTGGGAAAACAAAATGGAAAAACCCCTGACTAATTTTTATTTCAAATGTGTATTGCCAGAGCTGATCGACCCAAGACACCCTCGGGGACTCCCAATAAGGGATAGGTTTTGAAAAGTTTTGTCGACGAATAAAACTGATAAACTATTGTAATTATTTAATAATTTGTAAATGAAGGTAAATTATAAATAATTGAAATAAATTTTTTTTATTTCAACTGTTGTTTTTATATTTCAAAATATTGTACCTACCATAACTGGGTTTACTTATGGTACAGTAATCTGTTTACAGCCAAAATGCATTTACTGACAAAACCCAGTACTGTAGCCTACTTTAAATATTTATTTAGTATATGGATAAGCACGAGTGGTGAGTTTTGAAGCATTCCCGGCGCTCATTAGAACGCGCCTTGGCTCGCGGTGTTTTGGTGTTTTGTGGAGTGGAAGTTGCACTAGTGGCAATGATAAAACAGTGAGTATGCCAGTGCGCGTGGGTAAGTGGTTCCTCTCCTGCTGGGCGCCGCCGCCGCGCCGCTTTCTCATCCCCTCTCCCACTCACTCGGCCCCTCTCCCGCTCCCCTCCGTTGTGCAGCGCTCCAAGCGGCCGTTAGCTACATCGTGCTGAGATTTCCGACTCGGGGTCCGGCGGACCCTTAAGTGTTTTGAAGTTAGGTTAGATTAGGAAGCTAAAGTTTAGGTTATACCGTAATGTATCGAGTTGTTAGTTTATGTTGTCTGCAGACTGTTTTTTGTAAAATTAAAATCCTGAGAAAAACACTTCAAATTACTATTTCAAAAATGCTTGCAATATAAGTTGCAGCAGGCCTATAGATTTAATATAGCATCTACAGGTAGCCTATCAGTCGACCATGAGCAGTAGCCTATCTTATAAAACTTTCTAATGTTTTATTATTACATTATTTATAGCAATGCAGTGTTTGGCTAGTTATTAGTTGAGTTTGAGTGAGCTATAATTTTAAACGTTGCAGTTTGTGCAACTGAACCAAGATAAATAATTTGAAATGTCATTATTGTACAATAATAATGATTAAGTGCAATATTTAATTTCTTTGATAAAAATGTGAATTGTGACGTTAATTGTTGTTTACAGCGTCTTAATGGGTTTTACATCTGTTTTTATACTATATTGGATTAACTGTCATTTTCATTACCCCCCCCCCCCCCCAACCTATTAACTGAGGTAATCGAGTATCTACACAATAGTGTAAAGTATTGCAGCATGCTACTTGACTGTATTTTAACAAGCTTTATGTCAACAAGGCGTTCTGTGCTGAGTCGCGGTGTAGCTTGTGTCTGTGCCACGTGTTATCTTTATCTATCTCAGTAGTTGAGCCATTCCGTGCCCTCCCTCTTAAGATCTCACGTCTTGCTAATCTTGAATAATAACTTCCTACACGAATAAACATAACTATTTTTAACTTATTGAAATTCAATAATATAACTAATTGTCATTAATTAATCGACTTTCTATCTGGTGACTTAGTAATATATTTTTGATTGTCGTCACGTTGAGCACTGTTGCGATCAAGTTTAGCCACCCTGAATTTATTGCAACCCCCCCCCCATGAATTTCAATGAGGCAGTCTGCGTCACAGCCCTGATTAATTGTTCTATATAGGCCTATTGCATGTAGTTGTGCAAGTTTTAAAGTATGTTTTATTAAGATTGGTCAATAAATAACTTACATACCGCCAAAACTAAATATCTCAACCACACTCTGATGATACCTCAAACATATAGTTGTATTTGGCTTGCAACAAATCTCAAGAGATAAAACTGTTTTGAAACTTATATGCGCAATATAATGCGGCTTGTAAAACTCATTCAAGTTTATCCTGCCTTACACCTTCAAACAAAATGTTATCAAAATCAGATAAAAATTACTCAAGTTATCGTGCGGATGGACACATATATTATATATTTATATATATAGATATATACATGTATAGGCTACAAATTTGAACGAATGGTGTTTTTGGCCTCTGGGGACATTAAAATGAAAAAGTAAGTCGGTCGCGGGCCTAGATCTACCATCATGAGACCTACGGTAATAGTTACTTCCCTAAGGAAAATCGCTAAAACTGTGACTGAAACATTACAAAAAAGTAGCCTACTAAGCTAACACTCCGTACAATATAGTTTTATGTTACAAACTGTATTGTATTTTTTGTTAATATTTTGTTGTTATTATTAGTTTTTTAGAGGTTAACTGTAAGAAAGGACCATGAGGTCCTAAGTTTGCCTCAATAAAGAAGGATAAGTTATTCATTTTATTTTCATTTACCTCTTTACCTAGTCATATTGTTACATGGACTTAACATGTTGAAGTGATAGAGTAGCACAAAAACAACAATTAGACAATAAAAAAAAGTTGTTAATTCTCCAGATTACTGTTTTATAACTTACCCTATGTAAAATAGCCTAGTTTAAATACTTGCATAGTGTAATCCTTGGTTACAAGCAATAAAAGGTTTATATGATGCCGGTTTCTCGTATTCATGTTTGTCTAAACTTCGTTAATCACCCTAAAATGAAGTGATCGTTTCTAACTTGTAAATGTTGATGGTTCAACCTAAAAACCAAGACTACCTGACTATACAGATATATTCAGATATTTAAACCAAATGCCTGCCGTACTTAAATATTCTACAAACTGATGGTTGTGTCACAATGATTTGATTTAGCTGAATTATTTTTATCGTCCTTTATCATGTTACAGAAGACAGTAGATAGTAGACAGCACAATGGAGTCACAGCCGATGTGTCCGGTGTGTACGCTGTACTTGCGGCCGGGCATGTCATTGCATGACCACCTCTACACACACCCCAAGGATCAAGTAATAGAGGCATTGGTGCGACTGGCAGCCACCGGGACTACGCCCTCTGCCACCATAAATACCAACAGTCAGTTCACTGCCATCACTTATCGTCAGTTTCAGGTAATTAGTGCACTCTCAATCATTTTTAAAAGTTTTGTTCAAAGCCATAGGTTAGAAACACAGTAACTTAAAGTCCTTTTGCTCTTACACCTCAGGATCAAACCGACTAAAGGGTGTGTTGCTCTTAGTGGTTAGCGTCTCGGACTTCATTGAGAGAAGGGTTTAGATTCTTGGCATATCCACAAACCTATTATTGGTTTTGGACCTCTCCCCCTGGAAAAAGTTTAAATTACCTCGTTTGAAAATGCTATTGGCTGTTAGCTTCAGATTAACATGTAATAAATAGGCTATAATTATAGTGGTTTATACCTTATACTGCCTAGGGAGATTTTAGACAAGGAATGTGCGAGTGGTAAGAAATACACACCTAGTCTAGACTAGTTTGCCTCGTCTTCATACATTTCATGTCTTAATTATATTTTTGGAAAGGATCAACCATTTTATACTTACTTTTTACTTGTGACAGTAATGTTTTAGAGTTACAAAAAATTAACCTGAACAAAATAGGCATTTAAAGTGTTGCCACACAAAATACACTGAATTCTGTATGCATAAACCCGTTGCTCTTAAGCCTTCCCATACTATGTGATTGTTTTGATAGTTCCTGGTTGGGAATGAATGACTTAATAAGGTATGCCGAGAGACAAACCACTATTATACTACATTGAGAAACTATTTTTGCTAAAAGTAAAGATCACTCACTATCCAAGTATGTAAGTAGTTACAGTAGACTCCCTCTCATCCGGACACCTTTTAACCGAACATTGGTTTAACCGGACTACAGTCGACGGAAATGACATCTCTTTAACCGGACAATTATTATCGGCACATTGGTTTAACCGGACTAGATCGGCAGGAAGTGGGTGGTACTGTAACGACTTCTCGTGGGAAAGATTTGAGACCAGTGATCACATGTCTAAATACAATGCTCTCCTAAATTTAAGTCGAATATCACCGTAAACGGTCCATTTTAATGAGTTTTTGGGGATGTCGGCTTAACCGGAAAAACCGTTATCCGGACTGGCCTTGGTCCCAAGGAGTCCGGATAAGAGGGAGTCTACTGTAAGTATGCTTGTGCGTCAATGTACAGAAAATTATTATTTGTCTATAGTAACACATTTACATTTAAAATGAATCATTTGATATGTGCTAATTAGATTTAACTTTGTAACTGGTTCTGTGATCGCTGTATTTCTGGTTACAGACACTAACTACAAGTGTTCCTGAGTCCAGTATTCCCATGATGATCAACCCTTGCCAGGTCATCAACCCTCCAACTAACACTCCATTCACTCCAGGAGTAATCAGGTCGTCTGTACCACTTGTGTCCTACCCATACTATCCGCAAGAGCAGCCTACCAACCTAGCAGACCACGATCGTAACACTCAGTGCACGTACTCTCTAGCCACTCAGACCACGCAGACGACCCAGACCAACTCACCACTCGTAACACACACTGCGTCTCCTTTCCAAGAAGGAGCCCAGAACACATCACCTTTCCAAGAAGCCACGTGCGAAGAAAGTCAAGAAATCGATGAACCCACAGAAAGTTTTGAACCTGCTATAGATCCGTTCACAGGAGAGCAAGAGCAGCAAGTTACCGAACGAGAAAGTTTTGCAGGTGATGTGCTACCCGAGGGTGGACATGAATCTAGAGAAATTGAAGAACAGTGTCTTATCATGGAGAGTAAAATGGTGGGAATCCATAAAAATCCTGATAGCTCCGTAATTGAAAGTATTCGAGAAAGATCAGATGATCCTTTTGATAATGAAGATTTAGACAATATCAATGAATCTGAATTAGATCCGTTTGTGGAAGATAGGATAGAGGAAATCCATGGGGATGAGTCGGAGTGTAGAGACAACACTAATAACCAAATTGGACCTGAAGAAGATGACTTAATGGATCCGACCCACAGTTTAGGTACAGTCATCTCCAACACACATAGACTCATCGCAAATGAACCGGGACTGGATTACGATGACGATCTTAGAACTAACGATTACAATGAAAGTTATGGAAATTTCAGCCCAACCCGTAACATCGTATCGCCTTCATCTGATGTTAGCAACTGGAGTGGTGGGTCTGGGAATCTCAGAGTGAGAAGAGATCTGAGTAGTTTTGACGAACACGGAAATATGAGAGTTCTTTATGTTCATCCAAACTCAAATGCGACCGAGTTTGTAACTTCTGATCCGTACGGTGCTGTGGGCAGAAATCAGTCTTCTGAAGCCCAACTGACCAATCTAGACGATGTTAATTACTCCATGGTGTTGAATTACAGTAACAACCAACTAGCTAACATGAGTGTGGAAGATGGAGAGAACAAAGAGGATAACTCTGAACACAGCACACCCTTGAACATACACAGTGATGAGTTGATGCCCCCCAGAGGTGAACTTTCGGGACAAGAGAGCCTCGGAGCTACAGAAAATTCTGTTTGGGAACTACAGGTACAGTTAACAAATACCATTGCTTACTTGTTTTCTTATACACGATGTCTACAGCTCCCGGATATCCCTAATCTTCCGGACAAGTCCCTAATATTTCAGTTGGGTCCTGGATGTCCCTATAAACCTCAGGAATTTGATGTATCCTTGATTTCATAAAACTTATTAAATGCTTTAATTTTCCAACCAAAGAAATAATTAATTGTCTGACATTTTTTGTGCTCATGATAAATCAATAAAGATAAAGCATAAGTAAGGTTAGAGAAAGCTGTTGCTGTGGGTGAGCAAATTTTTGTACAAAAACACCGTGTACTATCTTATCAGTTCAATATCGAAATACTAAGTATCGGTATTATTTCGGACCAAATGGGTTCGATTTAATTGATGAATGGTTGAATGAATATTATGAACACCATATTACCGCAACGATATGTGGTGCTGCCATCGGTGTTCGTGGTGAAGTGGATAGATTACTTGGCTGATGTCCAAGAGGTAACCAGATCGAATCCCACTGGTGACACTAACTTCTGTCAAAGATTTTGCTTAGAATGCAATTACATCTTAACTGTAAATATTTTGTTAGAATTTGGGGCATTAATAATTTTATTTTATTAACAGAAATCTATTTTTCAATTAGTAAACCTTGATTCAATGTTGTAATCATCAACAAGTTTGGTTGGTCAGGTTAGGTTACGAAAGTTAAATTTTATAATAGAATGCTCTCATTTTGTCCGTGGTAAACCTTAATTCAATTTTTTTTCATTACCAGCAAGTTGGTTAGTTAGGTTAGGTTATAACAGTTTAATTTTATAATAGAATGCTCTCATTTCGTTTGTATCAGAATAAGCCTCTCACAGATCTGTGACAAACGACAACTACAATTGCATCGATACTATAGATAATGTCGTTATTCGATAGAGTTAACAAACGATAGTCGCAAAATCGCGTGACATTTTTAGACTAAAAAGTGTTCACCAGTGCTGTGAACTTTATAATTTGCAGAGTCAGTAATTTGTAAGTGTTATTATGCCTCTGATGTATTTGTTTCATTACGGGTTTCCACTCCAGATTTAACTGTCTCAGTGCTATATTTTGTTTCAGGACCATGGAGAGCCTTCCACAGCCAGCTATCCACTGCTTGAAAAAGATCGTTGGCAAATTATGGGGTCTACACTAGAAGATGAAATAAATGAATCACACTCCAATGGGCTTGAAAATAGGAACCACAGTGTCAAGTGTTTTGAGTGTGATATGAGGTTTGTCTGTGTGAGAGAACGGCGAATACATGTTCAAACTGTTCACAACACTCCGAGACATACACAGGTCAAGACCGAAGAATCGACAAGTAGACTTCTCACCAAGAGCGATTTAAAATCTCAAATTATAAAAATTAAACAGGAAAGGGGATTACCAGTGAAAACCGAAGCATCGCTCAGGACTTGTGTGGAGTGTGGGATGGAGATGCTGACAGTGAAAGAGCTGAGGAAACACAGGCGAGAGTTTCATGAACTGAAGAGGAAATGTGACACGTGTAACACTTTGTTTTCTGACAGTCTTGCCTATAAGGAACATATAGCTAAAATTCATCCGATAGAATGTGTGGTTTGTGGAAAGTTTTTCCCAAACAAATCTGCCGCTAATACTCACGCTAAATGCCACCTGAAACTTAAACCTTACCAGTGTACAATGTGTGACAAATCCTTCCTGTCCAGGTTAAAACTTAACGAACACACAAACATTCACTCGGGCGAATCCCCGTACAAGTGTACTTTGTGCAATCAAACGTTCAAACGCCAATCGAATTTAATCCAGCATAAAAACTTTTTTCATCTCAAAATGAAAAAGAAGGTAAAAGACTACTTCTGCCACTGCGGTGAGATTTTCCATTCGATCAAGAAACTTCAGTGGCACAAAGAAATTCATGATACAAAGCCCAAACAGTGTATGTACTGTAGCGAACGGTACGTCCACTCCACTAGTCTCACTAGACATATAAGACATGCACATGACAACACTTACTTACCAAAAACCGCTAGAGCACACAACGTGTTGTGTCCCATCTGTAAGATCACCTGTGTTAGATCCTCTCTGGGCCAGCACATGAAGATACACTCTGCTGACAAATCCTACACCTGTAATGTTTGTTCTAAGGAGTTCAGTACCAACTGGAATCTACAAATGCACAAGTGGACTCATGCCTCTCGCAACAGTAAACCTTTCAAGTGCAAACAATGTAAATGCGCTTTCTACATGTTGTCCAGTTTTCAGGCTCACGTTCGGTCGCATCGGAACATTCGACCCTACACGTGCAACTATTGTGGCCGTCAATTCATACGCAAGTATAATTGTATCCGGCATGTGAAAGAACACGAGACAACCAAGTCTTACTGTTGTGCTGTTTGCAACAAAACGTTTCACCGCAGTTACTATCTAACAGAGCATATGCGGACACACACAGGTGTCAAACCCTACACTTGTCACATCTGTTCCAAAACATCCAGCACCAAGTCAAATCACAACAAACATGTTAGAACTCATCACGCTCGCGAACCAGTCAATACTGAAGGCTGAAGTTTTTAAACCAAAGTTTTAACTATCGAGTGTTTCAAATATGATTTTAGTTTAGACATCCTCAGGTAATTAGAAAAGCAAGTTCATCTTTGTTAGTTTGTGGAAAGAGAAGGGATCAGAGTTGTCTACTGAGTATAAGCACAGAAAACATACTACTATAACCCAGAATGCCAACCGCATGGTAAAAAGCATTAAGTGTTTTGAGAGAGCTTTGCCTGTCAATCGTAGGCAGCGCTACCAGCGTTGCCATGCACTCAGCATAGCAACGCTGGTGGCGCTGCCTACGATTGACAGGCAAAGCTCTCTCAAAACACTTAATGCTTTTTACCATGCGGTTGGCATTCTGGGTTATAGTAGTATGTTTTCTGTGGTATAAGAAAGAAGCAGTGTGTATAAGTTGTGACAGCAACTTCATCAATGATTCCAACCCAAAATTCAATCTGTAGATAATCAAAATACAACTAAGATTGTGGGTTTTGCTAGAGTTAATTGGACCTGAATAGATCAATTCCTTTTTTAGAAAAACATTCCTAGTACATCGGTTAAAGGTATAATTGAATAAAAGAAGGTTTTTACAAAGATTAATGATGTTACAGATAGTCAACTATAACAATAACTGTTGTAATAATCGGCAGATATATCCGTGTACTGTCCGCGAAGAAGAGAAGATAGAAGAAGAAGTCCGCCTATCGGCAGCTATGCACAAAATGCTAGCCGATATATTCGCCTATTGTCATGGAAGGGTTAACTATGTACTCAATTACCGTGCAAACTTGTCATCAATTAATTGCTGTTAAAGCTCACAAATTTAAACTGTTAACAAGATTTTAGCATATGTGAATGAATTTCCACATATGCCTATAACTCATTTATACATATCTACAATAGTTCCTACCCGGGTCTAGGGTGAGGCATAAATTAAGACAACTCCTCTTTTTTCACTCATGAAACGAACAAGACTTGCTTTTCGAATTACCTTCCACAAATACAGAATATTTATGTCGTGCTTTTATACCCTTCTAAAGGGAATTTCATTTCAAAATTTTATAATTTCTGGAAGTATTTTGTGTCTATACCCTTGGATGTTGCAAAGAATTTACAAGGCAAGAAACAACTATTTTAACAAGTCACCCTTTTCATTACCTATTGTGAAAACCATTTAAATTAATGACATTCAGTATTTACAATATGAGGCAGATCTTGTAGCAATGAGTACAACCGACATCTTGGTACAAAGAACATCTTATCTCCACGGGGTTTAATTTTTATGTCAATCGGACAAGAGATTTAAGAAACTTACTTTGTCACATGATTTATGACTATATGGACTTGATAAAATCAGTTGTATGGATTGGATTGGTTAGATCCTGAAAAGATATTTTAATATCACATATTTTATTATTGACTGAACCTAATCACATATTTTATTATTGACAACCTCATTTTATCGTAAATTTAAATGATTTAAAACATAATTTTTTTTCAAATAGATTTTAGTTTTTTATCCAATATGTTTAAGTATGTCCCACTTGTCTTTTGACAAATGAATGTTGTTTCAAATGTGGTGCTAGTTTTCACTCAAATAAGACCATAATAATGTTTACTCTATTTTCCTATTTGTATATCAGGTTTGTTATCTGATCTTTATTAGCACTCAGGAACCAGTGTTGTTGCACTTATAGCATTATACTCAGTTAATATTATATTTTGTATTAATAATATATTTCCTGTACTGTGATAATTTGGTTTTATCTTTAGTTTAGATTGATTTTAAATCTATAAATAGTTTTTGAAGGTACATAATATTTTTAGTGCAATATAGTTAGTTATTTTATTTTCATGTTTTGTAAATATTGTATACATTTGTTTTGTTTTGTACTAGGAATTTTTAAATTTGCTGTGATAAGCAAGTAATAACCATCCAAAAACTTTCAAATTAAATAATGATAAAAATTACAGTACAGCATTTTAATTTGAATATAAAATACCCCCGCCGCAGCAAACCTGCAGACTAAGCGAATTTCCATTTCCCTGAATGGATTTACACTAAAATGTCTCCTTAAAAATATCACATTTATTCCCTATTCAAATAGAATCAGTTTAAAACATACTTAGGTTTGCTGCAACAGGGAGGGTAAAAGTGTTTTTTATGTAGAATGTTAATAGTTAGTAAGAAATAAAAACATTTTCCAAATTTGGGCAAAATATGTTTATAAACAAGCAAACTACAACAGTTTACTTATTCTCCATAAGAATAACATGGGAATTTTAAATTTACAATTTTTTGGAATTTTCTCCGTAACCATTAGGCGCATTATAACGCTTCAATATACTAAATTATTTGTTTTTTTAAGCTCTACAAAATAGTTTTGAAAGAAATTACAAAATTTTATGTTTTTTGGGTCAAAAATGGGAAAAACCCATTTTTACCCCATAAAAGCCCCCATAAACCCCCGTTCCCATGGTCCGATCATGCTGGTTCGCGAACTCGTTCGAATAAACGTAGGTTTACACGTTTGTACCAAATTTTATCAAAATCGGATCATTTTTGCTCGAGTTATCGCGCTAACGGACACATATATATATATATATATATAAATATATTTATATATATATATATATAAATATATTTATATATATATATATAAATATATATATATATATATGAATTTGAACGGATGGTGTTTTTGACCTCTAGGGACCTCAAAACGAAAAAAAAAATCGGTCCCGGGTCCAGGTCTTACCGTGAGTACTACGGTAATAGCTTATTCCCTATATGGGAAATTCGCTAAAAAAAACTAGATTAAAAACCGTTATGCCTTTTAGTTGTTATACAATGTAAAACAATGTCCAACTAACATACAGGATGTTTCAGTAAAGCGTAGCGGGCTATGCAGATTCAGATTTTAGATGCAAAAATAAGTTGAAAATGTAGAATAACTTTTTTCGATTTCGGCTTAGTCTATCTGTAATCCGCCATTTTGTATTTTTTTTTTAAATTAATAACTCAAAAACCTTTGGAGATATTTTTATGAAACTTGGTAGAAACTTTAAATATACAGGCATAAACAATCTCTGAGAATTTCTTTGATCAGGCTCATCAAATCTCAAAATGGCGGCCATTAAAAATTTTGTTTTAATGGCTGGTTTTCATGGAATTTTACTTTTAAAAATTTAAATGGCCGCCATTTTGAAATTTGATGAGCCTGATCAAAGATATTTTCGAAGAATGTTTATACCTGTAGGCTTAAAGTTTATACCAAGTTTTATAATACCCCCGCCACAGCAAACCTGCAGACTAAGCGAATTTCCATTTCCCTGAATGGATTTACACGAAAATGTCTCCTTAAAAATATCACATTTATTCCCTATTTAAATAGAATCAGTTTAAAACATACTTAGGTTTGCTGCAACAGGGAGGGTAAAAGTGTTTTTTTATGTAAAATGTTAATAGTTAGTAAGAAATAAAAACATTTTTCAAATTTGGGCAAAATATGTTAATAAACAAGCAAACTACAACAGTTTACTTATTCTCCATAAGAATAACATGGGAATTTTAAATTTACAATTTTTAGGAATTTTCTCCGTAACCATTAGGCACATTATAATGCTTCAATATACTAAATTATTTGTTTTTTTAAGCTCTACAAAATAGTTTAGAAAGAAATTGCAAAATTTTATGTCTTTTGGGTCAAAAATGGGAAAAACCCATTTTTACCCCATAAAAGCCCCCATAAACCCCCGTTCCCATGGTCCGATCATGCTGGTTCGCGAACTCGTTCGAATAAACGTAGGTTTACACGTTTGTACCAAATTTCATCAAAATCGGATCATTTTTGCTCGAGTTATCGCGCTAACGGACACACACATATATATATATATATATATATATATGAATTTGAACGGATGGTGTTTTGGCCTCTAGGGACCTCAAAACGAAAAAAAAAAATCGGTCCCGGGTCCAGGCCTTACCATGAGTACTACGGTAATAGCTTATTCCCTATGGGAAATTCGCTAAAAATATCTCCAAGGGCTTTTGAGATATTAATTATTTTCAAAAAATACAAAATGGCAGATTACGGCTAAACTGAGCCGAAATCGAAAAAAGTTATTCATCATTTTCGACTTATTTTTGCATGTAGAATCTGAATCTGCATAGCCCGTTACGCTTTACTGAAACACCCTGTATGTTAGTTGCACATTGTTTTACATTGTACAACAACTAAAAGTTTTGTTTTGTCGATTTACTATTCAGTTTCCTAATTTACAATCCAATTATCAATAGGCGTACCTTTTATCCATGACTTAATGAATTATATCCTCATACATTATTTAACTTAGGCATTAAAAAATGTTAGTGTATCTGTGAGGGGAAGTGATTTTAGTCCTTGCATTGCTCAGAAAGTGTTGTTAATTTTACTGTTTAGATTTTACAACTAGTTTTTTCTAATTTTTGACTACAAGGCTTTTAAGATATTGTTTAATTTTCCCCTACCTTATATTTTATGTCTATGATAATGTAACGATTTGTATATTTGTAAATGACCGTTTGTGGATAAAGGTAGTGTGTGTTAATGAAAGTGTTCTTGTTTTACTGTGTAACTGGCTAGCAAGCCCCGACTGTCACGAGTTTCCTTTGTTTTGATGTTTAGCATTTGTACACAATATTGTAAAAAATGTAATTAAACAATCTTTACTATAAACTTATGTGTTCTTTGTAATTTTGGCAGTTGTCCTAATTAAGCATATAACTTATAATAAATACAGAATTCTCATAGTCCCAGCTATGCTAAAATGTCATGTGCTGATGTCTAACGTTTGTTAACTTTATTTCAATCTCCAATTAATTAATTGATCAGGTTACGTAAAAAGTTGCCCAATATCTCATTTCGTGCATAACTATATTCCGTCCACAAAATTTTGGCAGTTTGAGGGGTGTTCTTCCACCACTTTTTTTCATAAAGAAGTTTGTGGCCTCTTTAAACCTTGCATTTGCCCATCCACATAGACTAACTGCCCATGCGTGGAATACATCCAGCAAAGTAAGGGGTGAGCCAGTACAGTACAAAGGTGAACTGTACTGATAAAATGTTAGTGGTAGTAACCAGGATTTTAACCCACGACATCACTGCC